CATATGAAATGATTCATACTTGCTTATCAAGATGTTGATCTTGGTATCCGTCACGTGAGACATTCTTTATAAGTTAGTCTAGCTTACCCTAGATTTACTTTATTGTCTCAGAACTAGACACATGATCAAATTCAAAATGAGTTAAATATTCATGACTCTAACATCTAGTGTTGATGTTTGTTCCTCTAAATCACATGAATTCAACATTAGCTTTGAAACTTGTAGTAATTCATAGATTATATTTGAAGCTTTGGTCTAGAGATACATGACTCTTTAATACTTATTTTTACTTCTAAATGAGTTAAGGTAAGGTTATGTGCTTTGTTGTTTTCATCTAGGACATATGCTGTTACCATCTAGGACATGCTGAAGACACCACCATTTATGTGAGAGCTTCATGTGATACTTCATTTCAGCCATTATATGTCTTGAGTTGGATTTCTTCCTTAGACACTGATCATCTGATATTTTTTTGTATTTTACTTAACTTTTCAGCATATTAATGTTGAGGTCTCAACTTCAAATCTCACTAATACATTTGCTCTTTGTGATATTCAAATATTCTAGTTACGATAATTCTCACATTTCTGTAGCTTACGTCTTGAGTTTGAATCTCTTGCTTAATTTTATGTAGTTTAATTTTCTATATATTTTATTTATTAAAACTTCTATCTTCAATTCATTGAAGTTTAACTTTCAAATCTTATATCTGTTGTAGTATTTCTAGATTATACAAAAGACTTTGTCACAAGTGTTAACATATATTCCTCTACACTTATGCTCGAGTAATATGATGTTGCATTATATTCCATCATGAAGAATACCTGAAGGATGTAACTAAGATTCATTATTAGCTATATGATTATTTTGAATATCATCAATGTATATTTTCAATCATACTAGACTTCTCAATATATTTCGAATGTAAGTATTTGTGTAATCAGCTCATGGTTCAGTGAATATTCAATAATATTCTATCAATCATATGTAAATAAGCTTTTCACTAGAAGTGTTGAAACCATTGAAATCATTAGATTCATCAAATATAAGATGTTCTCTATGAATGAGAAGGAGACCATTACATAAATGTTTGATAAATTTATGAATGTTCTAATGAATCTTGGAAGAACTTACCCTTCAGTTGACATGATAGAAAATATTTGTCTTTGTTTCCATATTAGAGAGGTTAAATAAACAATCATTGAGGATGGTAATGATTTAACAAAATTGTCCTTAGATGACTGTTAGGATTATTGCTTACTTATAAAATGGGTTTAAGGAAAGTTGAAATGAGGATAGTAAAATTCAATAGGAAGATTGTCAGTTTGAACTTAGTTGAAATTATAAATGATATTGAGAATTTAGGAGAAGATGAGAAGGTAGGAAAAGGTGATGATATGCTGAATAGAAAATTAAATATAATTTTACCAAAGCATGGAGTGAAAAATATGTGAAAAGGACTGAAAGATTTTCTTCCATTGTAACTAGTAAATTTAAAAATAAGTTGATCTACTTTTAGTATAGAAAAGTAGGTCACTGAAAAGGCTGATTGTCCAAAATTAAATTACAAAAAAAGGTCATGATGGCTACTTGGATTGGTGAAGATGAGTTTTTATTGAAATAAAATAGAGAAAGCAAAGGAAACATATGTTTTACCATGAACTTGAGGTAAAAGACATTTTTGATAGAGAATTTAGAGAAATAATATATGAATTACTTTCTATTTAGAAAATGTTGATTAAGGTGCATTTGAAGTTAGAAATATGAGAAAAGAAAACAAGGCATATAAGGAACAAATTAAATCTATTAATTAAAAATTGAAAATTAAATATAAATACATAAAAATTCAGAATTCTGATAATAATGATTTGTTGAGAGAATGATGGCTAGTGGTGAGAAAGTCACAAAGTAGATCAATTAAGAAAACCATTCATGATGAAATGATGGTTAGCGGTGAGAAAGTCACAAAGATAGGAAAGGGAAAGCTAGAAAAATATTTCTGAAATTCAATAATGGCCAACAAAAGTTAGATGAGCTGATTGAAATGCAAGCATAGAGCAAAAAAAGAGTAGGAATATTTCCAGTTATAAAGGTCAAACTAGACCTCATTCAACATGGAAGAAAAGCAATTCTCATAAGTGGCTATGTAAATTTTTTGGAAGAGCAAAGCTTAAAGAAAATAGCAAGATTCAACAAAACCAGAAATTAAACAAATCTGGGTTGCAAAAAATTATTATTAAAAATGTAAATCAAGATTATGTTTAGATGTCCATTATGAAAGAAATTTTATTTCTTTTAAGGGTCTGTTTGGGTGATAGTAGTTCAATAGTACCTTGATAGTGAATGCTCACGGCACATGATAGAAGAGAGATGGCTGACCTCATTCCTTGGAAAATAAAAACATGAAGTAACTTTTGGAGTAATGAAAAAGAGAAAAAAAATAGGATATGAAAATATAAAAATAACTTTGCACATTTTAATTGAAAAGCTCATGTTGTTAAAGGGTTTTACACAATTTAATTGGCAAAAGGTAATTATGTCATCATCAAGTGAAAGCTAATTTTGAAATCAGTTGTTGCTTTATTTAGTGCAAAAAATAATAATTTACTAATACTAGAAAAGGAAAAGTTTATGCTGTTTATCCTCATAAATTGTTGAAATCAAGTATCTCTTTGATACTTAATGTTCAAAACGTTTGATGATATTATACCACAAATGTCTTTGGCAAATGAACATTAGAACAATAAAAAAATTACAAAAATGAAAACTCGTGCAAAGATTGTCAAATTTAGACTTAAATGTAGATTTGATTGTAACATGTTAAAAGAAAACTTATTAGAGAATCACATAAATCAAAGGATATGATTAAAAATAGCCCTTAAGATTATCATGCATTAATTTTTTTGACCAAGGTGTCAAGCTTAAGTGAAATATGGATTTGTAATAGTGAGAATATCTGAACATTCTTGGGATGCAGTATATTCCTTTTAGACTGATTTAATTTCTAACTATTTTTTACGATTTCATCATTGAATAATGACCAAAAATAGAGGATTCTTTAACCCTAAATAGTAACTAAAATTTCTCAATGCATTCAGCTTTTCTATGAGAGTTAAGATACTTGTACACAATCATCATTCACTTATCTATGATCTCAAAAATTATTCTAAGTTTTTTTTGACATTTTCTATGAAAAATTGATAGGAATTCAAATCTTAATTAGACAAGAAGAAAACAAGTTCAAGAGTGATTTTTGATGTGAAAGCACCTCCTCAGCCTTATTTTAGCAACAACGACTTCCTCGTTTAGGTAATTTCAAAATTGTGAACATCAAGTGAAAAGTTGAACACAATTTAGCTGCCCCTTCATTGAATTTCACCATAAGTGTTTTTCACTTATGGTGAAATTCTTCTATTATTTTTTGTCACATAAACATATGATTAAAGCTTACTTATTGCATCAAAAATAAGATTTGGTTTACCTATAGTATGAAGCTATAAGAGAATTTTGGTTTCGAATTGTAATTGAGCTAAGCCCTTGAATCAGCATGTGCAGACTGAAAATTTAATAAAAGTTAAGAACTAGGTGTTCTAAGTAAAGTGTAGCCAAGGGCTCAAACCATCATAAAATCTAACTATCCTCAAGATTTGGATCTTAGAAATCTACGAACACTGGATAATATTCTAAATGATCAAGAAAAATAAAATAATTGACTAAGTCAAAATATAAATATGATCAATTCAACCCCCTTCTTAATCCTAGTGGTGCCTTAAATCAAACTTTGGATATGGTTGACCCATTTTCATCCATGCAACATTTTTATTGAGATGAAAATGAAACTCAAAACCTTACTTTAATGCCACTTGATGATGAGAATGTTTTGGAAGAATAACATTTCAAGTATCAAATCTAAAAGACAAAATCCTCAATTCTTGGATTGAGGATTACACTAGACAATTTTTAAATCTACAAGGGAAAAAAAAACACACACACACATACAGACACACTTTTAATCTACAAGGGATGCTTTGACACCAATTGACTCAATAGAAGTTGAAGAATAATAAAAATTATGCCTCGAGTATATAAGGCACAAAATTATTCAATCCTTAAATTCATAGGGATTTATTTTTTACAATATTTGAATCCATACAGATCATAAATGCATCTTGAATCTACAAACAAATGAATCTCTTAGACCACCTGATGCAGCAAATCTTAGTGGGGAATGAAAAATTAAACCGTGAATCTACAAGGGTCAAAATTGAAACTAACAACAAAATAGAAATAAAGCTCCAGAATTGAATCTACAAGGCATAAACTCCTCAATCCTCAAGTCCATGAGGATTGATTTTTCACGATTTGTCAATTCAGGAAGATCAATGTTCCATAAGAACTTGAGCAAGATGTTGGTCGGCAGAAGTGACTTACTACTAATAGAGAATTGGGAGCTCACATGGTGGGTAACAATGATGTTGGATTTTGTGGCCATTGATGATATTGTCTATGTCTAGGGGGGCAAATTAAAATAAGCCTCATAAAGAATTGATGTTACCTGAATATTAAAAATATTAGAAAAAGGGTCGACTTTAATTCGCTCATTCTACAAGGGAGTAAAAATCGTAAAATTTGAAAATGCAGAATAACGGAGGGCTAATTAACGAAAAAAATGTCCATCTTCTCGTGCTCCCAAATTTTCTCGCGGAATCCGGACCTCTGCTGGCCTGATCTTCCCGACGAGTCCCGAATCCTTCAACGTCAAGTCCTGTCAGGTCGGGTGACCTTCCCGTGCACTTTGCGAAGGTTGCGAGAAGAAACCGGCGCCAGAAACAAATGGAGAAGCAGGAAGATGACAGCAGAGACCGGCGCCCTCCGCAGCCACATCCTTCCTGGTAATCCATGATCCATGAAGGCCCCAGAGATGACGTCCTCCAGTTTTCTGACCTCTCCCTCCGACTCGGCCATCCTCCTCCCTCGCCTTCTCTGGCACCTTTTCCCCCATGACAACCCCTCAGCCCCCCTCCGCTGCTGCGCTCCACATGCCATCTGTTCTCCCCTCGTCTCCGCTTAGATCTCTGAAACCCATCTCGGTTCGGGAGCTCTTAAGCTCACGGAAGCCAGCTTTTGCGATCGGCGGCAGTGGATGCTGGGGATCAATCTCTAGGAGCCCTGTCGTTTTGAGGGCGGCTTTGCCCCAACGCAAAAGCACCAAAATGACGGAAATGGTCAGAATTCCAGATGCTCTTGGCGGCAACAACCTCGATGAAGCTGAAGAAGGTGATGAAGTCGGGGTTCGGTCGAGGAAAGACGAGGCTATTGTTCTCAGAAATGGGTCCCTGAAGTTTGACTTGGACCTTTCGTCTGAGGGGCTGGAATCTACGCTCAATAAACTGGTATGCTGGCATCCGATCGTCTGTGCCCTCCTCGTATTAATTTTGTTTCCCTCCCAACTCAAAATCCTTTTGAAGCTTTCGATATGCTGAGGAAGCTTAGGGGAACCCGCTGAGATGCTTTTTTTTTTGGACGTTGGGATGGAATTTTCTTCATCTAAACCACTACAGGCTCGGTTGATATCCCAGAGAGAATTAGCCAGAATTAGTGTACTTTGTCTGTCCAAATCGATTTAGGATTCTTCCCTCTGTATTTTCAGAAAGGACCGTAAAGGTGCTCACAAGTTTGATCATCACGCTCCATTCACTGTGTCTTATAATTCCTTCCAAATCAAGCATTAGGTTCTTGATCAATTGTTTGATATTGTAGAATTTTCCAGCGTCGTGAAGGTTGTTCTGGCGACTATGTTTCAAGCATTTTACACAAGCTGGCTGAAAGCTATGTATAAGTATTAGCACGCACATACATACATTTGTTATTGAATTCCATTCATAGAAGAAGTTTTCATTGAAAATTATAATATAAGTGCTCGTGCATCTTGTCAGGAATCCAGACCCAAAATGGTTGAACACATTGTCCCAAGTGAATGCACATACCAATGACAGCATCTGTGAATCTTCGTGCAGATTTTATCTCTTCATTCCCGCTTGAGATATCCATCCTAGAGTAACCCTCGTTTGTGAATTTTTGTTATCTATTTTTGCAAGTGGTAAATCTTTGATTAGGAAAGGAGACAGAAGATGCTCTACGGCTGAATACCAAATATATTTCAGATTTATTCACATCAGTCAGGAGAATCTTGTTCCTACGGCAAATAATATTTGATCATTGCATTTTTTTTTTTTGTGCATCTCTTAATAAAAGTGGGAGGTGGGGAAATTTAACCCGAAAGTTCCCTAAAAAAAATTCCAGTTATGATTCCTGTACTCTGTTCATCATTGTTGTTATAAAGTTTGGGAATTATATTCATGGGTACCAATTACTCAGAAATCATGCAAGGATTGATCGTGTTATATGCACTCTGATACTTTCCCATATTAAGCTGCAGTAGATTTTTCTGTCTCTTGATGCCTTTACTACTACCTGATTGAATTTTTTTTCCGTTCATATCAGAGCAAATGGATTATAGCAGCTCTTTTTGGCATAGTGATTTTATGGAAGCATGATGGAGAAGCCATGTGGGCAGCGATGGGGTCTGTGATTAACGCCTTGCTATCAAAACAGCTGAAACAGATATTCAATCATCAAAGACCTGATCCTTCGTTGAAATCTGGCCCTGGAATGCCATCCTCACATGCACAGTCCATCTTCTATGCTGCGTCATATGTGGTGATTTTATGTAAGTTCCATGAAACTTTCCCTTTGCAATCACATTTTGGTTACCTTGAATTATCTGTGGCATGATTCTGAGAGTTTGGTGCTTTCGGTGTTGAGTCCCAATACTAGCTATATATGAAGGTCTCCAAGTGACACAATTTTAATGTGTGGATATTATATGTCAATAGCCCTTTAATAAATCTGCATTTCATAGTCGAAATCTCATACATTCTCGTAACGTTTATTCATAGGAGGGAAGTCGCTCCTATCTTATATAGTAGCCTCACATGTGTGTCATTGCGTCTATTTCTACTGCCCCATAGAGGATGCAACCTCTTCGACAAAATGATGTAGTACACAGTATAATTCCATGATTTTTGTTTTGATTGCACGTACCCTTTCAGGCAGGCATGTTCCGGTTTTCTTGAGGCCCTTTTCTCTTGTTTGGTTGAGAATTTTCTGAGACCTTGAGAGCTTATTTGTTCTGTCTCAGCCCCAAAGGATTGCAGGGAACCACGCCCAGTAGCTCTTTAATGATCCATGTTTACAACGGCTGAAAGTTTTGCAACGCATGATGGAGCATTGGTCCGTGAAAATGAGCATCCCATGCACAGCTTCAATGAGAAAATGCAACGCATCTATTTAATCATTTGAAAATCTGAATACTTCCACTCCCCAAACCACCTGGTCCTCAGGGATAGAGCTTTATACAAGGTGGATTGCATAGTCTGGCATATTTGAAATGAAGAGAGGTTCTCAGAAAAGAGCCACCAAAGAGAGAGAGAAGGGGGGAGAGAGAGAGAGAGAGAGAGAGAGAGAGAGAGAGAGAGTTCCACATGTCACCCAGATTTCCATTCCCAGTTCGTGTCGGATTATTCGTGCCCTTTAGACAAAATGTATGCCATTTTCTCATCAAGACGCCATGCAGTCTGTACCTTTCTAATTGTAATCGATTAAGGTCAGAAGGCAATACGAGTATTTAACTTGTCTGATTCGTATTGAAAAGACTCTGCACACACTAATGAACTTCTGCAGAGTCCTATTCATAAAAAAGAAAAAAGAAAGAGAACTCGGGCTATAATTTCAGCCTTGGACTGATTCACTGGTCTCATTCTCTCTCAATTTCGAGTGTTTGACTCGTTTTTGTCTCTCTTGCGGCAGTGATTGACTCGTGGGGAATAAATGTCTTCACATTGAGCCTTGGCATATTCACTCTGGCTTGCGGTGTGTACCTGGTAAGAAGCATGCTCAATCTTATGCTAGTCGAATGCCTTTCCATGCGTTGTGAATTCATCCCATCACAGTTCAGTCGGCTACGAGTCGGGTTGACCTCCCACATTCTCTCTACTTTGTTGACATGTTTCTTTCATGTCTGGCATCCTTAACATGTCAGCCGCTGCAGAAGCTCTTCAAAACCCATGTTCCTTCCCTCTAGGCTTTTATGATCTCCCTCTACACAAAATTAGAGTACAGTTTATGGGGATATTTTTGGCGACCTCAACCTCAAACCCTAAGCTTCTCATTTTGATGGGCGGGTGAAGTTGACTTCTGTGATTCATGCAGTCATGGCTGCGCGTCTCCCAGAAGCTTCACACCGTCGCCCAGGTCAGCGTTGGTGCCGCCATCGGATCTGCCTTCTCGATCGGATGGTTCTTCCTGTGGCGCGACCTCGTGGCCAAGGCCTTCGTCTCCTCCCTCTGGCTCAGAATCGTGGTGGTGCTGGCGTCGGTCGCCTTCTGTGCTGGCTTTCTGGTGTACGTGGTTCGGACTTGGCTGGTGGACGAGGAAGAGTCTCTGTAGAGATCCAGTATGGCATCTCAAACAAGCATTATGCTGCCTCGTCTGCATCGTTTCAATTGTAATATCGTGATCGATTTTAGTGAGTCGACAGTGCACAGGGGCCATCCCGGGTTCTATCTACTGAGTCGCAAGGCCAAGAGGCAAATAAATCAGATCGGAACCACCTACCCACCCAATAGAGGTATTACTCTGAGATGACGCGAATTCTTTATTGGCTGGGTATTACCTGATACGGTGATGGGTGGCCAAACGCAGCAGCGGATGAAGCTAATGACAACCGGGTAAGCTAGCTCAACATAAACTGCTGAAGCTTGTTGGGGAGCCGATCCCCCCCCCCTCCCACTGTGCAAAAGGATGAAGAGTGATGAAAAGGGCGGGTTGGGTCTTCTTACAAAGAAGAGGAGGGTCTGATCCTCATGATGGCATCAGACTACATGATTATAACTTCGCAGTAATTATTTTGGCTGCAATTAGGACGCCCAAAACACCACAAGATTCAGCGAGCTGGTTTTCAACTCTTTAAACCCTAGAAGCCTTTTGAATTTACCATAATGTTGAAGACATCACTTGTCCTGAAAGAATTCTCTGGGATCATCATGACTATTACCTTGGGGAGGCCTCTCTCCCTCCCTCTCTCTCTCTCTCTCTCTCTCCCTCCCTCTCCCTCCCTCTCTCTCTCTCTCTCTCTCTCTCTCTCTCTCTCTCTCTCTCTCTCTCTCTCTGTTTCTCTCTGTACTAGATCCAAGGGATTAGAGATGGGGTATCTAGATAGTGGAATTCTCTCCACCGCGTATAATGCTGATGTTCATGCTTGCCAAGTTTACAGGGGTTGAACATCAATTGTTGACTTGACTCTCGTCCAGTCAAACCCAGTTTTTGACTTTCTCATTTGAACATCTCAAAATGATGGAAGGCGGCGGCTTTTCCTCGAGGAATTATGCCGGCAAAGAGGGAAACCGGACGAGCCGAATGTCGGTGGAGACGCCGGTGAGTGCGGGGCCGCGGCGCATCGAAGGCTTAACAGACACTTGGCTCGCCCTGGAACGCACGTGAGCCACCGACATGAGCGTCAACGGAGCGGAGACCACCGTCGCATGGTCTCTACCAACGGAGCGGGCAAGAGGTGGCTTTTCTACTTTTCCACACCTCGAGTTTTAACTTTTGCTTTTTAACCCAGGTTATTCCACATTTGTTCTTTCCGTACGTTGTAGAGAGCCCCCCCACCCCGAGGGAAGTTCTGTGGGCACTGAGAGACCAAATCAGGAGCTCTCTCTTCGGGATGATGACAGAATCGACTCTTGCTTCCGTTGGCGACCGTTACCTAGAAGAAGCGCCCCCCCCCCCCTCGCTCTCTCTCTCTCTCTCCCTCTCTCCCAAAAGAGGCAGTTTACGGATGCGGCGGCCACGCCGTTCTGCATTTCGCGTTCGTCATTTACTACAGGTCCTCTCTCTCTCTCTCTCCAGTTCCAGTTCTCACAAAAGAGGGAGAGTTCTGGGGGGAGGTGGGGGGGCCATGGGGATGGGGAGAGGAGGGCAAGGAGGAGGCGGCCGCCTGTTCCCCTTTTATCCTTCAACCTCTCTCCCGGCCGCCATTGGGTTCTCCCTCCTGCTGCTCAATCTCTCTCAACCTCGCGCATCCGCAGCTCCTTCGCCACCTCCGTCGTCTGCCCTCGCCTTCGACTACGGCGACGCCCTCACCAAGAGCCTCCTCTACTTCGAGGCCCAGCGTTCCGGCCGCCTCCCCTACAACCAGCGCGTCTCCTGGCGACACCACTCCGCCCTCTCCGACGGCCTCGAGCAAGGCGTGAGCACCAACACAGAACACGCACCTCTTTCTCTCTCTCTCTCTCTCTCTCTCTCTCTGGCTTTCTCTCTCCAGATACCTAGCTAACTAGCAAAGGGGGGAGGGGAGGAGTTGCAGGTGGACCTGGTGGGTGGCTACTACGACGCCGGCGACAACGTGAAGTTCGGACTACCGATGGCCTTCACGGTGACGATGGTGGCGTGGGGGGTGGTTGAGTACGGCGAGGAGATTGCCGGTGCCGGCGAGCTGGAACACGCGCTGGAGGCGATCAAGTGGGGCACCGACTACTTGGTCAAGGCCCACGCCGCCCCCGAGGTCCTTTGGGCTGAGGTGGGCGACGGCGAAACCGACCACTACTGCTGGCAGCGCCCCGAGGACATGACCACCTCCCGGCGGGCCTTCAAGATCGACGCCGGCCATCCCGGCTCCGACCTCGCCGGCGAGACGGCCGCCGCCATGGCCGCCGCCTCCGTCGTCTTCCGCCGCCGCAACCCGCACTACTCACACCTGCTCCTGCACCACGCCCAGCAACTCTTCGAGTTCGCCGATAAGCACCGGGGGAACTACGACCGAAGCGTGGCGGCGGCGAGGAAGTACTACGCGTCGGTCAGCGGCTACAACGACGAGCTGCTCTGGGCGGCTCTGTGGCTGCACAGGGCCACCGCAGGCGCCGGCCTCGGAGACGACGGTAGCGGGGTCTACTTGGACTACGTGGTGAGGAACGGGCACGCGCTCGGGGGCACCGGATGGGCCGTCACCGAGTTCAGTTGGGACATCAAGTACGCCGGCGTTCAGGTCCTCGCCTCCAAGGCAAGTAACCCCGCCGCAACGGGCACTTCCGCCACCACCCCGCCTGCTCCTCCTCGGCCAACTGTCCCGCTCATACATACATCTCTGATCTGCATAATCCACTAGCTCTAGGCCAATTCATCAACCCCATTGGGCAGGCCATAAATATATCTTTATAAACGTCTAGAGAGAGAGAGAGAGAGGGTGATCCACCGAATCCATGTGAGGGGATACCTAATCTAACGATGCCCATCTCGGTCTGCTCCACGTCTGCAGCTACTGATGGAGAAAGGTCAACGGTGGCCGGAGGAGGCGGCGGCGGCAGAGGAGATCCTGATGCAGTTCCAGTCCAAGGCGGAGCACTACCTTTGCGCCTGCCTCGGCAAGAACAACGGCACCAACGTCCGCCGCACCCCCGGGGGCCTCCTCTACGTCCGCCCCTGGAACAACATGCAATACGTCTCCGGCGCCGCTTTCCTCCTCACTGTCTACGCCGACGCCCTCCGCCGCTCCGGCCAGGCGCTACCCTGCCCCGGCGGCGCCGCCAGGCCCTCGGACCTCCTCTCCACCGCCAAGTCCTCGGTGGACTACATCCTCGGTGCCAATCCCATGGGCCTCAGCTACCTGGTCGGCTACGGACCCCGCTTCCCCCGGCAGGTGCACCATCGTGGGGCCTCCATGACGTCCTACAAGGAGACCAGGAGCTTTATCGGCTGCACGCAGGGCTACGACGACTGGTACGGGCGCCAGGAGGACAATCCCAACATCCTCGTCGGCGCCCTCGTCGGCGGGCCCGGCGGCGACGACGTGTTCCAGGACGAGAGGCAGAACTACATGCAGACGGAAGCCTGCACCTACAACACCGCTCCTCTCATCGGCGTCTTCGCGAAGTTGCACCGGCTGAGATTGGAGGAGAGCGCGGGCGGCCCGCCCCGTCGGTGTTCTCTTCTAAACCCTAGGTAAGACTTCATTGTGAGGGGCAAGCTGATTCTTTCGTTTTCCGAAGGCCATTTCTTCCCTGGCTTCTCTCATTAAGCTCACACTAGATCCATCTCAAAGAACGAATTGCTCATCTTGCCATTGTGATTTTCTTGTACTCACAAATACTTGGGAGAGAGAGAGGGAGAGAGAGAGAGAGAGAGAGAGAGAGAGAGAGAGAGAGAACACGAAACAAGGAGAGACCAGCCCAAAAGTATTCCTTAAAATAAAAAGGCACAATATTTGCATACAGGAAGAAGCCCTTCAACTTTTCATGGATCAGCGAGCGGTTCCTGGCCACACTAGGCATTTTGAAGCCACCCAGTTGAAACACAGCCCAATGATTATTGATTGCTCTCGTACAGTACTCAGGTTTATCTTGAAGATAGCACGTGATAGATTTCAGTCATTCCTTCATTTGAATATGATATAAAATACTAATTATTTGTTCAAAGATCTAATTTTGTAACAAGATCTTATGTGAAAATGTCAATTCGATCATCAAAAGACAGAAGGCCAATCAAACCAGAAGGTAACCAGACAACAGGACAGAAGAAGATGAAGAGTAAATCTTGACCAAAAGACTAAGCACTTCGAAGATGAATCAAAGAGTAAGAATCGAAGCAGGCAGTCAACTCAACTATTGGCATGAGGCAATTATATGAAGCAATCAAAATGCTAAACCTAGGGGATGGGAAGAAATCAAGTATCCCCTTCAGCCTTCTGCCTCTTTGTCGTGAATAATTCGGCTGAGCCTCAGGCTCTCTCAGAAAAAGGTTGTTTCCGCCAGATCATCACATGTGGAGCTTGGACCTATGGCCCTAAGCAGTCAATGTTCTGTGTTGTGTCCTAATCGCACATGATGATATTCTACTGAATTGAGTTTCCCATGGTAGTGATTGATGCAGCAATAACAGGCTTGAATTCACTAAGTATGAACCTTGAAGAATAAATTAACTTTTGCATCCACATAACAAGAGCCTTCAACCCTTGAATCCACAAGGAGATGTGACCTTGAATCCATAAGATCAATGGGGGACCCTTAAATCCACAAGGGGGTACTTGAATCTATAAATAGAAAAAGGAAAACCTCATAAGAGAGAAAAACTCATAATACATCAAAAAATTCTCTTCTTCAGGTTATCAATGGGGCCTTTATCTAGGCCTAAAAGGAGGTGGGGTGTTTTTAAAAGTAAGATCTTGAGCATATGTTAAAGACAAGCTCTAACTCTGAAATGACTTGACATAGACTTTAACATATAGAGACCCTAACCAGATCCTAGAGACATGCTCTAATTGAGTGAGAAATGACGTATAACAGATTGATAATAGAAATCCTAAATAGATCTAAGGATAAGTTCTAACATGACTTATAATAGACTAATAGAATAAGATTCTGAATAGATCCTAGGAACAAACTCTAAATAATATTTAAAACACCTTCTAGAAGAAAGGAGACAAAGAAAGTTTATAAAAAATTAACTTTCCTAAATAAGTTTTCATGCTTTTGTTGGGCCCAATAGTTAATTAGGCTCTCTTTGAATATTCTTCTCATAGTGGCTTAATTCCAAAGTGGTTAGTCCTTTAGCTTCTATCTCTCTTCACTTTCTGAGTATATGGCTGCATTAGTCTCCCCTTCTTCAAAAAAGTTCATCCTTGAGGCTTCATTTGAGGCTCCATAGTATTCATAAATATCACTTACATTGAAAGTATGTGAAATTGACATGAGATGGAAAGGTGGTGAACAACCGACTGAACTGGGGAGCCTAAACAATGATATCCTCTAGAAACTCTAAGATATTCATTGTCATTAATTTTCTATAGCACTATGAAGGGTCCATGTTTCTTTAGTTTTAGCTTATTGGGAAGTGTCCCTTATCACTTTAGGTTTCTGTGCTTATTGGGAAGTGTTCCATCCATAAATAGATATTAACAAGATTACTAATTTAAAATATCTTATTCCTTGCATATTTATTTGTCATCTTTTTATAATTTTTATAATTTATTGTAAGACTTGCATGATAGTTTTATGAATTTCCTTGATGTGATCTCCTAAATTATTTATAGCAATACATGTTCTTGTTAGCCTTCACAATTGCAATAGATCTAAATGAAGTTATGGAGGGAAAAAATATACTATTGAAAATAGAGATTGGTTAGTCAAATAATTAACTATTGAATTATAATCAAACTTGACTTAAATAAAGCATAATTCTATTGCTTTGATTTCTCTCCTCAAATAAAATAGATTAGATTTTCAAGTGTTATGTTGACAACTTTTGTTTGGCCATCAATTTGAGGATGGCTAATAACATGACTTAGTCATTGTATAGTAAATCATGCAAATTAAAAATTTATAAAATTTAAAAATATTAATTTTCAAATATTTAGAAGTATTTCTGAACAAATATATTAATTATAATTCAATAAAAGTTTCAAAAATAGTAATCATTTTCCAAGTTGATCATAGGATGTAATATAATATCGAGTAATTTTTCAGAACTATTTTCAAATAATATAATTTTTTTATAAATTTAGATTAAGAAATAAAAATAAAATATATTTAAAATTCATGAAAAAGAAAAATAAGGGTGAAGACATCAAGATGACATCAAAACTCGATGAACACGAATTGAAATTGATTAGAAATAATTTAATTGATCAAATGAAGATCTATAAAAGTTAAAAAAATTATAATTGAATGAAAAATAGTTTAGTAAATTTAAATTACAGAAATTATCTCTAAATAAAAGTAGAAAAATAGAGTTCCGACATTACAGAGACGATGCGTCGACAATACATCAAAATCTTGAGCATTCAAGAAGATTGTCATATAATGTCTATTACTTCAAAGACTCTCCTTAGATAAGAATGATGTGGATAATCTCTAGATCTTCTTGCGAAATCTAGATATTGGTGAAATGGGTCGTTGAATCATCTCTAGTGGCTGCCACTTAGTGGAGTAAATAAATAGTAACTTTGTAACTCTTTGACAATTGTCACCTGATAGAGAAAAGCTGAATAGAGGTGGGGTGTGTGTTAGGAAGCTTCATCCTCAAGTAAACATAGCAAGATGAGGCTTTTCATTATATCTAATACACTCTCAAGAGGTAGTGACTCATCTCTTAGTAAATCATCTTTTTCCTAATGACGACTTATTCATCGATCAATCGGAGATATTTTACTTGATGGATTTGTGATCTTTTTATTACAGATCATTTAACAATTTTAATAACAATGCTTTAAATTATTTTGACAAGATTTTCATCAATGATTGAGTGATTTTGATAGCTTAATCTTTCAACGGCAATTTGTAGGAAGGTCACGATTTAATCACATAAAAATACGAGTTTTAGCTCTAGTAGGATTCAAACTGATGTCAATTACCTACCTACATGAGAGTAATTCAAATAATTACTCTAATGTCCTTATAAAATGACATCATCATAGTACATCTCTATTATAATTAAGGGGTATTTTAGGTATTAAAATAATTAAAATAATCAAAACCATTTTGAAGAAGGTTTGACTGCTAGTTTAGTCCCACATCGGTTATATGTAGAATGTATAGATGCATAAATCGTAACATAAGATTTAAGAATCAATGAGTCCCTTTCTCGCATGTATAACCACTCCTTGTCCCACAGTTGATTAGCCACTAGTGATGTGGAAGGGGAGTGGCACACACGTGCCACCATCGTTTCATAGCCGCTTGAGCCTCTACTTGCAGCTCTATCCCAACTATGCTTCCAAGCCGCTTGCGAGCCCAACTAGTCGACAGATCCCCCCCTTTTCTATATTTGTATTATCTTTTTCTTCATTTATCTCAAAAACAAGATTATATAAATCATATAAATTCACATAAAATCATAGAATTAGCCAAAAAATCACATTAATCAACTAAAAATAATTTTTTATAATTTAAAATAAATATAAGTCTATTTATTATGAGTTAAGGCTAGAACTATATTATTTATTAATTATTAACTCATGATAATGAAGACTTATCAACTAGTAATGTTAAATTTCATAAATGTTTCAAATTGCTTCCAAAGTATTCACCAAAAATGAGATATAAATTTTGAATCTCTATTTGAAGTGATGGATTCAAAAACTCCTTGTAGATGAATGATTTTCTTCAAATAATTATTTGCTACCTACCTTGCATGATTTAGTTTTTTGCAAGTGATAAAATGAGCCATTTTAGAAAATCAATCCACCACAATGAAAGTTGAATCTACTCCTCTCCATGTTCGTGGGAGGCCTAAAATAAAATCCATAGAAAAATTGGTCCATAAACATTGTGAAATTGATAGTGGAGTTTATATATTAGTTTTTTGGCATTGTCCCTTGTAAGCTTGATAAATGAGACACTTTTATGCAAAATTTTCTACATCTCTCTTCATATTTAGTCAAAAATACTATTTATCCACCAAGTGTAAGGTTTTATCATCGCCAAGATGTCCCCATAATCCTATACTTGAAGTAGCTTTTCGCTTAATGAACATTGAGGAATGCATAATTCTATTCTTTGAAATAAAAAACTCATCTTGAATATTAAAACCTTTATTTGATAAACTATATTTACAAGTCACCCAAGTTTAAGAAAAATCAGCATCATCTTAATATAGTTCCTTGAGATAATCAAATCTAGTAATTTCAACATGAAGGTTTGCTAAGCATGTAGTTTTCCTACTAAGTGCATTTGCAACATGATTTTCCAAATTTATGCTTGATGATAGAAGCTATGCATGAAAAAAACCCAATGGGCATGTATTATGTTAGCAAAAGGTTGAGTATTGATTGATTTTAGAGCTTAATGATCTGTATATAAAATAAATTCACAATGAATCAAATAATGTCCCAATGTGTGTAAAGTACACACAACAACATAAAATTCTAATTCACACATCATCCATTTTTTCTAGCATCAGAAAGTTTTTCACTATAGAAAGTAATAGGACAACTTTCTTAAGACAACACAACCCCTACTCTAAGTATCAAGGCGTCACATTCCACTTCAAATAGTTTTTCAAAATCAGAAAGTGCTAAAATAGGAGTTGAAAAACGAATGGCCACATGAGCATTCGGTATAAGGCAAAATTACTTTTAGCTTTCTCTCCATTACTCAAGCTCCTACTTGCCAGACAATTTGACTGATAATCCTTTACAAATAGGAGGAGAAGACATCATTACATAAAGCCATGTAAAGGGTCAATAAATCTTCAAGTAAAGGAAAGACAGTTTATTAGAGTATAAAACATTAAGCAAAATAATGAAAAAACTAAACACTAGTATTGCCCTTTGCCTCTATATGTAGAGCTACCAATCATCTACAAACATGAAATTATAATTCCATAATCATAAGAAAAAAATAATAGAAAACTTAGTATGAACATAAAAAATATCTCTAAAGCTAACTTATTTTTCCTAATTCTTCTTCTTTTAATTTTAAAATATTACTTAGTTTATTTTGAAATATTACTTAATTTGTATCAACATTTCATTCGAAATTGTTTTCTCATTTCACCACAAGTAGGGTTTCCTACTAGCATTCATATTTTATCTCTCCCCCATTTTTTTTCTCAATTTTAGGTTTATTTCCCATTATTTAACTTCCTTTCATTTTTTGAATTTTCTCTACCATTCTATCTATAGAACATTTTATAGGTCTGGTGTCATTTATCAATGCTAAACATGGGAAGACATCAGAATTCAAATATTTAGAGTTCAAATAATTTGGAAGAGGCACATAGAAGATTTTTTTCATTATTTTTATTGTTGTTATTTTCATGTTGAGATTGATCAACATAAATGAAAATTCATGTTGAGATTCACCAAAAATTCATTATCAATGCTCAACATGAATGAAAATTCATGTCTGTGATTTATTTCTTGATCATTTTTTGGAAAACATCATCAGTGAAATTCTTCCCTTATTTCTTGTTGCACATAGTTATTATTAAGCCTCACTTATGATATCAAAAATTTTCCTTATAATTAAATTTTGCCCACTAAGAGGCAAAACATTAGGAGATAATTTCAATTTTAAATTCAAAGGGAGTTAAGCCATTGAGTTAGCAGCTGTGCACTAAAGATTTAGTGGAAGTCAAGAATTAGGTGTTTGTTGATAAAATGAAGCAAGTAGGGAACCAAACAACTATCATAATCTTGGTGTCCTTTGTAATTAGATCTATGAAATATAAGATAATTTAAGAATAGAAGATAATATCAAAAAAATTAGAATCAAATAACCAAGAGTCAAAATTAGAATATGATCAATTCAACCACTCACTCTTGATTTTGTCACAACCTTAAATCTAACCCTCAATCATGTTGACTCTTTTTCACCCATGTAATACAAACCAAATCAAAAACTCAAAGACTTACTTGCATTCCACTTGACCATGAGGAAGCTTAAATCAAGCATTGAATTCACAGGACAAAATGATCAATCCTTGATTCCACAAGGGAAAATACCTCTTGAATCTACAAGGGGTTACATTGATAGTACCTAATTTATAGGACTTAGAAATAAGTAGTAATTATGTCCTAGATTCATGAGACACAAATTTAGTATATCCTATCCTTTAATTCACAGGGATTTATTTTAGATGATCTTTGAACCTATAGAAGTTTTAGGACTAAGTGAAAACACTACAGGGGGGGCATAGTGAATTTAGTTTTTCAAGACTTCTAGTGATTTTTATTCTAGCCTATACCTAAATATGTGTTGATACATGTCTAGATAGATAGGGTCTCTCAACTCTCTCTCACCAAAAGCACAAATTTTTATATGTTTCTCTCAAACCTGACTACTTTCATTCCTAGAGAGAACTTCCTCCAATAGTCATTATTTTTCTTAAGAAATACACACTAACATTCACGAGCTCAGCCACCCAACACCTCATATTTCTCTCCTCAAAGATTCAACTCTACTTGGGCCAAACACAATCACCAGCACCTTGTGTTTTCATCCAACACACTATCCCCCCCAACCACTTAGTCACCTTAGGGCATGATGGAGTGCAACAATAATAAATATGGAGTTGATCACACTATCAAAATCAGCTAGAGAAGGTATTACATTCTTCCATGATGGTGATGCTTTTTGCTAGAATAGTTTCAGAACATTGCCTCAATCTTCATGTGTACAACAAGTTTTTCTTTCTGAAATCTTCTCCTTTTGTAGCCTTTATTTCTAATAGTTTCCTGATTTTACAGGATCTAATATTTAAATACTTGCTGGTTTCCAAAATGCATGGTACAAAAAATTGAATATTTGAATGTTTGCATTTCTTTATTCCCTCATTCATTTTCATTCAAACTTAAATTGGACTTTCCGAAGTTATAGAAAAATAGTTAGATGTCTAGGTTGGATCCAAATAACTGACTTTTTTTTACTTTTTATCCACATAGCCAGCTGATGTGCTATCATCAAGATGATGTGTATGAAGCTGGAATATCTCTTTTATTTTCTAACTCTTTTGATTATTTAATCCATGAGAGATTATATGGAACCTGTCTATGATTGTTTTCAAATGCCAGACATTACAAATCATTGTTAGAGTAATGTTTAATCAATAATAAAATAAATTCCACATTATTTTCTTATACCCATTTAATGATATCATCCTTTTGTTGGAGAATAATTCTTCAATTGATATTCTTTATTGATCAAGTATTTCTAACATAAAGAATCACGTTTCTCAAATATTGATCCCTTTGATTAGATTCTTAGGGATAAGATCATGAACTTAACAAACTTGATTCATATATAATTTTAAATCAACCAGATTGATTATTTGAGACAAATAATTATTAATATTCAATAAATTTATGTCAATAAATATTTACTTCTAATTATCAAAACCAAAGGCATTAACAAAATCCACAAGCAAATAGAGCTCCAATACCACTTGATACAACAAAAGATAGTGAGGAATGGAAACTCAAGCCTTGAATCTACAAGGGACTAAATTGAAAATTACTAAAAAATGTTTTAAATCTACGAGTATCGAACTACTCTTTCTAGACCATGAGCATTGATTTTTCACAATTCTTTAATACTAAATAAAGAAAAATGTCCTCTAGATCCACAAAGGTTGTTTAAATTTACATCTAAAAAGGAAATCTCTAAATCAGAACAAAAGTTACAACATTTAGGTTAAATAGGTTAAAATATGCTTCAATTGTCTTTAAAAATAAATATAATTCAACAGAAAAATCAAAGCAAATAAAAAGTAGAACAATTACCACCCTATAAATTTGATGTATTCCTCATGTTATTTTGGACCTAATTATTTCATTTTTGCACTCAAAGTTGTTTTGGGACTTGAAACAAGAATTTTACCATTTTTAGGTGACCTAGGTCATAAAAGATTTGCTTTTCTCAATTAATGAAGAGATGCCCTACTTCAAAATCAATGCAAAACATGACGCATAAGAGGTTAAGGATAGGATCTTCCTCAACCTAGTATGTTGGATAACAATGGTAGAATTGTGAGTTACAAGTGTAAATATTGAGCTATACAAAAAGTGCAACTACACATGCATCTAAGGTGACTTATCCAATACTCTCATATAGAATTGTCTAATTGAGCCCCCCCTAACTCATTTTGAAAGTGAAAAAGAACAATCTTAATAATGGGTGGAACAAGACTTAGATCTGTGTTCTATATAGTGGCTTGAATTGAGCAAGATGTTGAATGGCAAAGGTGACTAGTTAGTAAGGGAGACCTAGGACTCTACATAGTGGGTGAGGCTGATGGCAAATTTTGTGATCTTTCTCTAAGGGGGGAAAGAATCACTCAAAAAATAAAGAAGCCTTAAAAAAATCATCTAGGAGCTTCCTTCCTCTTAAAAATTAAATATTATTTGAATATTCAAAAGACCAATAAAAATAAGGTTGACTTGTATTTGAACTTTCTATGAGGAAGTAAAAAATTTGAAGTTTTAAAAAAAAAATAACAAAAGGCTCAAGAATCAACAAAAATTTATCTGCCTACTTGATAAGTCTTCATTATCATGAGTTAATAATTAGTAAATAATATAGTTTTAGCCTTAACTCATGATAAATAGACTTATATTTATATTAAAGTATGAAAAGTGGTTTTTAATTGATTAACGTTAATTTTTGGGTAATTATGTGATTTTATATGATTTTTATAGTCTTACTTTTGAGATAAATGAAAAATAAAAAATAAAAATAAAAATATTGCAAAATGGGGGGACTTGCCGGTCAGCCGGGCCTACAAGTGGGTTAGAAGCGTAGTCGGGGAGTAGCCGCGAGCAGAGGCTCAAGCGACTTGAACAAATGGGGACACGTGTGTGCCACTCCCCTTCCATGTCACTAGTGGCCAGCCAGCTGTGCGACAAGGAGTGGTCGTACATGTGCGAAGAAGGGACTTTGCTTAGAAATGTAACATTACTATATATTCGCTTAAAAATTTGGCGCACAACCGATGTGGGACTAAACCCGTCACCTTCCTCAAAAGAGGTAGGGGGAGCAACTGGTGTGGGTTCAAATCCTCCTAGAGTCAAAAGTCATATATTTTTATTTGATTATTGTGACTTTCTTGCAGATCACCAGTGAAGGATTAAGCAATGAGAATTGCTAGATCATCGGCGAAAATCTCATCAACACGATACGCGAAACATTGCTACTAAAATTACTGAACGATTCGCAATAAAAAGATCGTGAATCTATCAAGTAAATCATCTCCAATTGATTGACGAACAAGCCGTCGTTAGGAAGAGGACGATCCACCAAGAGACGAGTCGCCACCTCCTGAGAGTGTACCAGATGCGATGAAGAGCCTCCTCTTTCTGCGCGGACCTGAGGATGAAGCTCCCTAACACATGCCCCACCTCCATCCAACTCCTTTCTATCAAGTGACAACTATTGGAGAGCCGCAAAGTCGCCATTTTTCTGCTCCGCTAAGTGACAGCCACCAAAGATGACTCGATGACCCATTTTATTAATCTCTAGACTTTGTGAGAAGATCTAGAGATTACCCACGTCATCTTTGTCCAAGGAGAGCCTTCAAGGCCATGGACACTACACGACGATCCTCCCGAATGCTCAAGATTTTGATGAATCGCCAACGTATCACCATCACAATGTTGGAACTCTATTTTCCTACTTTCAACTTACTTTATGCTTCATTTAGTGATACTTTTTGTGATTTTAATTTACCAAAATATACTTTGTTCTATTACGATTCTTCTGACTTTTACAAATCTTAACTTGATCAATTAAATCATTTGTAACTGCTTACATAAGAATCATCGGGTGAAACTCTATTTCTGCTTGATTTGCGTTCGCCAGACGCTGACATCATCTTGATGTCCGCACCCTTATTTCCCTTTTTTTTGAATTTTAAATATATTTCCTTTTTATTTCCTAGTATAAAATTTATAAAAAATCGTATTCATTGAGAACAATTCTGAATAATTACCAGATATTATATTACATCCTTGTGATTGACCTGGAAAATTATTGCTATTTTTGAAAGTTTTATGGAATTCTAATTGATATATATATTCAGAAATAATTTAAAATATCTGAAAATTTGTAATTTCTAGTTTTATAAATTTTAGATTTACGTGATTTAATATACAACGACTGAGTCACGTCACTACTCAAGGTCAAATCTTTTTTCTCAAGATTCAATCTAGACCTCTCACTAGCTTCATCTTCTAAAATCACTTCAGTTGTTCTAAACAAAATTCAAATTTTGAATTGAAATTAAAATTTGGTAAATGTAGGTCATTTCACTAAAATGATGGTCAATCTCAATATAAATTCACTCATTCTAAAATATTTATTGAAATAAAAGGAAATGACTCAAGAATAGTTAAATATTCTAGAGAAAATGATAAAGAAATCACAAAATTTAAAAAATTAAAATGATAGAAAATAAGTGATAAGTCTTCATTATCATGAGTTAATAATTAGTAAATAATATATTTTTAGTCTTAATTCATGATAAATAGACTTATATTTGTGTTAAAGTGTGAGAAGTAATTTTCAGTTAATTAACGTGAAGTTTTGGGTAATTATGTGAAAAAGAAATTAAAAATAAAATAAAATAAAATGGGAGGAACCCATCAACCAACTGAGCCCTCAAGTAGGTCAGAAGCATAATTAGGGAGTAGCCGCAAGTAGGGGCTCAAGCAACATGGACTGATAGGGGCATGTGTGTGTCACTCCCCTTTTATATCACCGGTGGCTAGCCGGTTGTGGGGTAAGAAGTGGTCGTACATCACAAGAAAGAGACTTGCTTGCAAATGGAACATTACTATATATTCGCCTAAAACTTCGGCACACAAGCAATGTGAGACTAAACCCCTTCTCCAAAAAGGATAGGTAATCAGCGCGAGTTCGAATCCTCTTAGAGTCAAAACTCATATTCTTTATTTGATTATCGCGACTTTCCTACAGATCGCTGGTGAAGCATTAAGCAACTAGAATCGTTAGATCATTAGCAAAAATCTCATCAACGTAATTTACAAAGCATTGTTATTAAAATTGTTAAACAATTCGCAATAAAAGGATCATAAATCCCTCGAGTAAAACATCCCTGATTGATCGACAAATAAGTCGTCAAGAAGAAGACGATCTGCTAGGAGACGAGTCGTCACCTCTTGAGAGCATATTGGATACAATGAAGAGTCTCTTCTTACTGTGCAGACTTAAGGATGAAGCTCCCTAACACGCACCCCACCTCCATGTAGTTCTTCTCCGGCCACTGGAGAGCCACAAAGTTGCCATTTTTCTGCTCCACCGAATGACAGTCATCATAGACGATTCAATGACCTATTTCATTGATCTCTAGACTTCGCAAGGAGATCTAGAGATTGTCTGCATTGTCATTATCCAAAGAGAGTTTTCAATGCCATGGACATTATACGACGATCCTCTTAAACGCTCAGGATTCTAGTATATCGTCGACACATCATCGCCACGATGTCGGAACTTTATTTTCCTACTTTCAACTTAATTTTTGTTTCATTTAGTGATAATTTGTGTGATTTAAATTTACTAAGATATATTTCATTTCATTACAATTCTTCTGACTTTTACAGATCTTAATTTGATCAATTAAATCATCTGTAATCACTTACATAAGAATCACTAGATGAAACTTTATTTCAGCCCAATTCGTGTTCGCCGGGGTGCTAACGTTATCTTGATGTCTGTACTTTTATTTCTTTTTTTTGTGAATTTTAAATATACTTCCTTTTTATTTTTTAATATAAATTTATAAAAAATAATATTTTTTAAATAAAATTCTGAATAATTATCAAATATTATATTACATCCCTATAATCGACCTAAAAAATTGCTACTATTTTTAGAAGTTTTATTAAATTATAATTGATATATTTTTTCAGAAATACTTCTAAATATCCAAAAATTCATATTTTCTAGTTTTATAAATTTTAAATTTACATGATTTAATATACAACAACTAAGTCATGTCAATAACCTTAAAATAAACCTAAAAAATGATAGAGAAATCTTCTATACTCTACCATTGAACAATATTAGGAGTTGAGTGTGGCATCGATCACTAGCTTTGTTGTCATTTAATTCTGAAATCTTTATCTTTCTATAGAAATTAGACTCACTTGTCTAGGTGTCCTATCTTCATGGATTTTTTCAATCATTTGATTCTTCCCCTCAATCAATTGAGCTATCTTGACAATAACATAAAGACAAATTTGCATCAATACTCTAATTTCTAGCTGAATATTTGCTTTGAAGCCCTTCATAACCATCCCTTCCATGATTTCATCTAATAACTCTTCCATGAACACAATAATTAACATAAAGTTTCTTCAAAATTTTGTGATGGTACCCCACTAATCCTAAAAATCGTTCACAAAGGCTGCCCTCTAGAGAGTATTCAAATCTCTTAAATAGTTGAGTCTTCAACTCCTTCCATGATGTGAAGTGTCTCCTAGTTTCAATCCACTTAAACCATGCTAATGTCTCCTCTTAGACATTTGAACACAAACATCATGTTCATGATGAAAGAATAATTCTACTAAAAAAATGCAGCCTTCTAGGGTCATTATATTGAACATTGGCAACTCTAGCTACCTTCTCATCCTCTATGATTCTCAATCATTTCTAGAGTCTAGACCTCTTTCCACTTCATGGTCCTAATTGGATTGCTTGTGGCTGTTCCACCTCAACTGATGTTACCTTGACTTTTGCACCCCACCAATGTTACTTAGAGCATTCCACCTCAACAGATGATGTCTAACATCATATGGTCGAGCTCAAGCCACTCATTCATCCTCCAAGTGTCAGGCAACACTTTGCTCCAACACCAAGAAACTGTGTCATTTGCCTCTCCACCTCAAGGAGACTTTCTAGTCCTTCATGCACCGTCAGACATCTGCAATTTTGGGTGCCATCACCTAACACTGATCAATATTATGCCTAGGTCAGATACTAATAAATAGAAGTAAAAATATAGGGGAAGGAAAAAGAGGGGTATGCCCAAACCCTAGTAGCTTATAATTATTCATGAGGACCATTGCTCTCCACTAACCTCAAAAATAACACCCCCCCTTTTGTTCATCAGTGAACCCTCTTTCATTACTTGAACTTTTTATGTAAACGCTCTCTCACACCACAGTTCATACATTTTCCTACTAGGAAAATAATAATAATATTTGGAGTCTCATCAGAATGTCACAAGCCCATTAGATGTATCAGAAAGTGGCAATCTGTGGATTTTCTTCAGCCTTCTTGTCCTTCTCACAAACAAAGGCTGCCTCAGAAATGGCAGTTCCTAGCAAAAAGACCAACCCAACAGTTTTCAGAAGAAAAAAAAATCATGAAATTTCCGTACAAGAAGAAGCCCTTCAAGTTTTCATGGATCAGCAAGCACTTCCTGCCTACACAGCAGCCATTCCCTGACCACCTGCTTGAAACACAGCCCAATTCCTACCTGACTGCTCTTGTAGAATCCTCAGGTTAACCTTGAAGAAAACACAGATTTCATTCATTCATTTAAAAAAGATAGAGCATATTAAATATTTGTTGAATGGTCTAATTTGTACCAAGACCTTGGATGAAACCATGGCGTTGCCAACCAGCTAAGACCGGGCTTTTACCCACTGACGTCCCCCGCCATAGAGATTCTTGGCACCACAATGGGTTCACCACGAACTTTATCAAAAGCGAAGTTTATCCTCAACGGCCGACCGAGGAATGCCTGCTATAGTAGGGAGGGCATTTGCATCTTTCCTCATTAGGCCAATACATGTCAAATGGATATTTAGAGATGGCATTACCTTCCCATCCATGGCATCTTTGGCACACCTGGCTTGATCATGATTTGAGAAATGCACAAATCCAAAGCCTCTTGACCTGCCAGAATTCTTGTCGTACATTATCCTCACTGCACCGAAACGTTGTGTTAGATGGCCGATTATTCAGAGAATGAGTTCAGAGCTGGATCAGCCGCAAACAAGGTTATCTTTTGAAGTGGAGAGAAGAAACAACCGTCAGTCACCATAATAGGGGCAGTTGCACCTGTTCAAAGAACAAGCACTGAGCACCAACAAAGACATTTTTCTTAACTCATGTCCCCCGATTACACAACATAAGCTATATTGAGAAGGTGATCCATAAAGCTTTGATCAACCGTCTGTTTAGAACCCGTAAATCAATTCAAGAGGGAAAATATCATAAGTAATCAAAACTAAGATAAATCCATTGAGGAAAAAGAGGGGTTATGAAGAAAAAAATACTCTTCATCATAACTAAGATTTTTTGCACAACTGAAACAGAATTGAAGCATGATCCTGCCATCAGTTCACACAGGATTCATCAATGGCTAGCCCATGTTTGCTCATGTATCACACAAGATGCCATCACCAAAGTTTAAACCTCCATTATCTATGCTTTTATAAGACAGACGCATGTTTAATGATCACAGTTCAAGACTTGCATCCTTCAACCTGAATATATTCTGTGATAAACAGATACCCATTCTAGAGACCAACTATATAAGGAAAGCGATCCGCCATTATTGCTAAAATATCCTTTGAAGATGTTGTCACAACCAAAAATTATTGGCTGAGCCAGAAATGTACAAAACCTTTCAAGATTCTTTTCTGATTAAAGTTCATGCAAGGAAGAACCACAGCAACACGAGAAAAAAGTTAATAGGAAGAAAAGCTTGAGCAAAGAAAAGAAAGAGCACTCATGCATCACAGGCGTCTCACAAGAATACATGGTGACTTGATGATATATATCATGAAAATGCAGGCAGGTTGGCCATAGCCATTATATGTAATAAAAATAAGAGATTCGCTATCAAGGTGGAGTTCTTTCTCACAGGGCCATTGGATTTCAGAAAAAAAAAAAATCAGAATAATAAAAAGAAGATAGAAGGCTCATAAAACAACAAGAAATATAAAACAACCGTCACAAACCTATCACAAGGAACTGTTTATAAATGATCACAGGGACACCAATCTAGACCCCTGCTCTCTCTTTCCATCCCTTTCTTTTCTCATTTTCAAAGGCTGCATGGGTGAGCCAGTATCTCATATTATAAAGATGATTTTTTAAAAAATGTACTGGTCCATGCAAGGGACCCCTTAGTAAAGACATGAAAGTGAATAACCTGAGTAGGTGAAATATGATGGAGGAACCAAGACACAGGAAGAGAACCCATTTTAAGCCCCAGAGTATCCATTCTCAAAGCAATATGGCCGAACTGCACCTCCATCTGACAATAATCAACATGGGTTTAAAGACAAGGAGAAATGCATAGCTTAAACCTAGAAGTGATTGTGGGAACATTTAAGAAACCACTGGAATAACTTTCCGTTTCTCTTCCTTCCCTGAGGCACTTAAAACTACAAATGACCATGGGCCCATTTGGTATATGGCCAGAATTGCTTTTGGGTTTCTCTCCCTTGCCCAGGCTACTCCTTGCCACACAGTTTGACTCAAGTTCTTTGCCAGATGGAAGGAGAAGACGTCACTACATAAAGGCATATTGAAGGGTCAAGAAATCTTCTTGTGAAAGGACAGAGTTTATGAGAGAAGAAAACATTAAGCACATTAATAAAAATGGTAAAGACTGGTATCACAATTTGCCTCTATACGCACAGCTGACAATCAGCTAGGAAAAGATGCACACCTTTTCTTTAGAGAACATGCATTTATATTTCCAGAATCATAATTAAAAAATAACATAAAAATTAATATAAGCAAGAAAATATCACTAAATGTCAATACTAATTGCCTTGAACATTCTCTCAAGAACGGTGCAAAATAAGTTGTTCCTAGTAAATAGCTTTCTAAAGAGACCAATATTTTCCATGATTATTTCCATGAGGACAAAAAGGATGGCTCAGTTTGTTGAGAATTATTATCATTATCCAAGTTATTTAAAATGGAATTGCTCAATTCGATTAAACAATATCTGCAATTAACATTGAGAAATATTACATTGAAACAGCAATCAATGCAAAATATTATGAAGAATCTTAATTTACAGACGAAGAAATGTGTGCCCAATATTGGTACTCCTAGGGAAAGCAGTTGTCTTTAGCTTAGCACAAGTGACCTACTGATGTAGCCCAGAAACTGCTGTCAAATGAGGAATGGAAGGATTTGACCCAGGTGGAGGAACTAATAAGATCTGCGTTGAAAAGGCTAAAAAGTAACAGAATCAAATGCAATGAAATTTTAGACAAACTCAAATGAATCAGAGACTCAAGAGACATGAAGACTGTGTTTTGCCCAAATTCAACTTCAAATGGCCTACTAAGATATTTGGTCACATGTTTAGTGAGCCTAAATTTTACAATTCGCACATTTTATTCATATAAAATAGTCCCCCTATTCTATTTAGGGCGTTTTTATTTCTTAGGAGCCTTCTAAAACAATCCTCCTTTTTCATAGGAAGGTTTCGTTTGTTCTCTTCCCCCTATTTTCTAGGATCATAACATATTTGCCCCTTTATAGGTTAGTTATAACTAATTTTCGACCTATAAATAGGTCTCCCTTTGTAGCCCCAAGAAGGCACGTTTTTATCAATCAATTTCGAGTTCCCTTCCTTTTTGGAAGTTATCCCCTTCTACTGGTGGATTCTAGTATCCTTGTGGACTCAGGGAGTCATTTTCGATCTTGTGGACTAAGGATCAACCCCTTGTGGACTCAAGGAACAAAATCTCTTCGTTCTATAGATTCAGGGCAAGGAGTTTTTCAACAAAGAGGCGTTCCTTTTAGATTCAAGGTCGTGATTTTGCTTTTAGAATACACAGCCAAAGCTGAAACGTGATCAAGTTATCAATTCTTCAAAATTCCACAGTGTCACCTACGGGATGCAAATTTAGTTTTGAAGTGGATGGCTTAATAGAGGGCAGGCAACCAAGTGGCAAAAACATGTATTTAGGGCTATGGCGCAAGGGAATGTACCCTGGAAGCAGAAAAACTACTGAAAATTTGCGAAAGCCACACTCACAAGGGTTTTTTTACCACAAGCAAGGGTAGTTCCATTGCATAGTTGAACCTTCAGCACCGGTGTGAGGAGACTCTGAAGTCAAACTAAAGAGGTCGATTATTTGGGATGTTCTGTCATTATAGTGGGCCCTTCACTTTCATTACATCAGTGTTGATGAGAGAATCGCAAATCATATACTGAAAATCCTTTCATTTACCCATTGAAGATAGTAATGATAACAGGGAAAGTATGAAGTTGGATTCCAAAATCGGACAACAGACACAAGGATTGGACCACAGACCATTATGCCAATACTGACAACCCCAACCCCATTCAAACTATCTGCATTCCATCAACAATAAACGTCCAAAATAATGTATATATGCCATTGACCAGCTACTATCCAAACTGATCCACACAATTTCTCTCAATGTCTAAAAGAAAAAGAAAAAGCGACTGCAGACTAACCTATGAAATGTAAGTCAAAGAAAAAAAAATTATGGTAATATCCAGTTGATGATGATCAGTTCTTTGAGCAGGCAACACATGTTTATAAAAAAAACTAAGCAAGTGAACTACCTTCAGTGACCTCACCAAAAGAAGAGAAAGCATCTTTTAGAGATTTCTCATCCACTGACCAGGATAGACCTGTAACACATCCTCTAACATCAGCAACTCAGCGAAGAACAGCAGGAGAGGATGACAGAGAGAAAGAAGAGTGACCTCCAACGAAGAGCTTGTTATTGGGAGATGAGGTGAGTCCCTGAAGAGGAGAGGCTGCCAATGATGAATAGGAGGGATGCCAGGAAAGAGCAGGGTGCTCACCCACGAGCAGCCACCTCAGAACAATTCGCAACATGATGATGAACTTAGATTGCAGGGGCCCCCTCCCTTGCAGCACAATTGTCACCACTGATGTAGTCAGAAGATGGTACCATACAATAGATCAGACGAGAGACATTCAATTTTTTGGCTGAAAAAACAGAGACTTGATAAAGGGAGAGTTCGTGTGAGTTATCAATTTGTTAAAGAAAAGAGACACTGACAACAAAGAAATGTCAGGACAGTGATCCGGAAAGTTCTAACAGATTTTAGTAACCCAAACTATACAACTCTTTAGATTAGTAAAAGGGAATCACATATTAGAGAACCAAGCAATAATCTGCACTGAGTAACAGTTCTCAACGGTAGAGCTTAAAATAACAGTGAATGATACGATAATGAAATGTGCCAGATAACAGAAATATCCAAAAGGAAGGATAGTTACTCTACAAACATAATTATAGACCAAGTATAGATGGAAACAAACTAAGACTCTTGTTCACAAGGTAGTGGCTGGGATGGAAGGAGAAAATGTTTTTCACCAGATAAGAGATATAAAGGGAATTCTCTACAAGTTGATTTGGAAGGTTCCTTGAAATGTAAAGATATTATAGAGAGGAAAATTAACCGGAAAATGTTAATAAAAAAAATATCACCCTAGGAGTAGAAGCTCCATTAGCCCGATTAACAGTCATCTACAAGATTAAATATCATCCAAAAAATCATTATATGAAGTCGAAAATCTGAGTTGAACTGCTACGTTCATGATTAAGCCATGGGACAAGAACAAATAAATCTTGACTGCTTACATCACACACTTTCTAAAACATTCATAAATTTAACCTCTTAAATTTTTAAAAAGAGACATGTTGCATAGTAAAGTGAATTTTAAAGAAACTCTGCAAAATTAATGAAAAGTAACTGCAAAATTCGCACTATCATCCAAAGAACTCTAGATGTTTCTGTGGCATTTCTCCTTCAAGTTTCCAAGAGACCAACTTCACCATATTGCTCATCGAAGCATACAGTAGCATGAAATTTCTTTGTCTATCTCAACATGAGGTCCTCTGAAATTGAGGAAGGTCCAATTTTATTTTTTCAAGCTAGGAAACTAGATGCTTTCTGTCTTTCTAACTAGTCTGAAGCACTACACTACTATCCTAGTTCATCATCTGAACTCTCATGACGAGGGTAATAACTTATATCATAGTTCTTATGTCCCACTGTTCTCAAGTATCCTCTCATTGATTACTTTCAGGTGAATGAGAAGACATGCATCCTACTTAGTGTCATCTTTATTTTTGCACAAAAATCAAATTAAATTAGTGCTACTATGCTTGAAATCACAGTCTACCTTTTAATTGAGAAAGGCCTTCTGATCCTGTTTTGAGTTATGCATCTTCTCATTAATTGGCCTCTGATACAAATTCAATTCACGACCCCAACCTATTTCAGCAGAAATAACCATACTCTAGTAGTGGCGCAACCACGACTGGCACTTAAGGCCAAGATTAGCAAAACCTAAAGGAAAGAAACTTATACAGCACGATCAGAGTAGTTTACTGTTACGAATCTGCTGACAACATGTGTGATGGAAAAGGAGGTCATGTGAGAAACACTCAGGAGAAACTTCAGGAGACCTTCATACATCGGACGTCTCAGGTGAGAATGACAGACAGATATAAACAGTGCTCTGAGGAACGGAAGGGGGAATGTGGAATCCAGACTAGGAGAGGCAGGGGATCCTCTCGAAGCCTATTCCCACCTTCTCTTCTTTCTCTCTATCCTTTATGGTAATCTGATAAGAAACGTCACTCTGATGGTCCTACCTCTACTAACAATCTACTTTCCACCCAATTCGCCCCAATCTGATTCTTCTACGGAGGATCGTATCATTTACACAGTTTGAAATTAAAAAAGCACACAAAAAACATGTGTACATCCCGGATAAGCATTGCGTCAGAAATGAAATATCATTTATACTGCAATCTGTATCAACTTCCTGCACAAAAACTCTGAAGAACCATTACATCTAATATACACCACATAGTAAAATGGCAGGTAAGCCTTCTTACCCAGAAAAGCATCATCTTATCCTTTTAATCTGACAATTTCTATCAATAAAATGATGAGACCCATGAGATTACCACTGATCACAATCAACAGCTGTACCAATAATTAAAAGGAATTTATCATCAGCTGTGAATACTCAAAATCCCAATTCAAACCAATAACACGCATTAAAGAGTATTAAGTCTGAATAGCATGGCTAGGATTTCCCTCCCTCCTGTCGCCTAATGTTCATTACTATGTACATTTATGTGAAAGTGTCCAACCTTAACTCTGGAAAGGAAAAATTCCCTCTCCACAAACAGACAGACAAGTTTTGTAACTTTGATTCCATTTACAAAGCCAGGGAAATTCTCCAGACACCTTGCCCTCTGGCCTCCTGGCTTTGGAAAGATTTTTCCATTCATTAACGTACGTTTCCATCCATGGGCATTCCTGCAAATGGAGATCGAGGTCCTGGGCATTCATCAACTATTGATTTTCTAAAGAAAGTTTGAGTATGTCATATACCATAACACTGAAACAATCTAAATTTGGAATAAGTGGAGATCAAGGTCATGAGTATTCGAGATTTAACAAGCAACACATCATGAATATGCAATAACACTGAAACATCTAATGTCACAAAGCACCATAACATGAAAAAATAGCATATCCACAGTCTAACTTGTCGATAAAACAGAGGAAACACAAATAGATAAGTACATATAACTCTCTGAGGGCAGTGAGTTGATGATTAATGGCGATTATCTGCATACAGACTAGTTCCATGTACTGATCAACTCCACAATAATCCCATTATGACTCTAATAAATTAGTACCTTTCCCGTAACAACAGAGATGAAACTAACTAATAATAATAATGTACTAGCTTGAAGGCTCATCCTAGTCTGTCTATCCAAGTTAAAAGGTGCCCTGCGATGGTTTATTTTCATTGAACAAGAATCAATTGAATCAATCACATTAATTAAGCGATCCTGTTCTAGATCCATCACCTAAAAGCCTTGAACCAAAGCCCCCAACCATTAGTCTTAGTCTGAACCATCGGCTCATCAGCTGCCCAGGGTCTGGCCAGCAGCAGGTCACTACCTTGGCCTAAGCTCGCTTGCAGGGGGGCTGAGCCAGGAGGATGTAGGGACCGTGAGGGGCCAACAGCTATGTATCGTGAGTGACAGGAGGAGGCTTGAGTCAGTCGTCCCATAGGGTTGACCAGTTCCTCCAGCGCTGCCATCAGGCTTGGCGGCCAATCACCTCCCCATCGCAGGCACGGAGCACGCGGAAGGCTGGCACAGCAGCCCTGCAAGCCGTGACAGACAACTCCCCACCCGGACACCGTTGGCAGAGCATCCGCCTGTAGCCTCCAAGTGCATGGAAGGTGGATCCTGCTGACTTGTCCGTTGTCACCTTAGTCACAACTCGCCGGTCACTGAGTCATGACGGGCCAAAATTGGTTGGAAGTGTGCGGAATAACTTGGGTTCGTCTCCTGGTTCCCATTGAGGCATTAGCTCGACTCTAGATTAAGGAGGCCTACTTGGGCAGGGGCACTGGCCATCACGTGTACAAACTGCTGGAGTACAATCATGAGCGAGAAGACGGAGAATATGAGTAATGTTGGAGAAGAATGATAAGACCGCGCCAGAGCTCCTCTGCTCTGAGTTCTCTCCTACAACTCGTCTTCCCCTACTCTTTCACTCCCTCCAGTTCGGTACTCTCCACGGAACTACCATTTCCATGAGACGCATTGAGAAATCCGATCATCAACCTACACATCTCTAGCTTCTACACGGTGTTCGAACCAAGAAAACGGTCACTGGTTGCGCGGGGGGTTTCTCATCTGCCAGCGATAGGCCGCTGGAAGTGGACCAATCGGGCCGACCCATGCCCTGAAACTTTCCCAACGACGGGAGGAGGCGGTGGGGGCCCCGACGGCACCAAAAGGGTGGTCCGTCGACAGCATTCCCGCTCCCGTCGGCCCCAGTCTACCTACGGAGTGGAAGAGAGGAGGAAGCGAGGCGTACCTGGGAGATCAGTCCGCGCCGCTTCCCCCGGAAGCTTGGCCCAAATTTTGGTGATGGATCAGAATATGTTTCCCCCTGAGAAACCCCCCCTGGAGGTAGCCGTGAGCAGATTTACTTTAGACCTTACGTGTTTAGTATTTGGTTTTGCGACTCTAGAAAGGCCTATCACCCTTCCTTCATCCGAGTAGCTCTTCACTCACGTCTTAATCTGGGCAGACTTTTTCTATTACCAAGAAAATAATAAACCTAGACAAAAAATATATTCATGATCGTCATTCTGGAGAAATTAATAAATCAAAATGGGGGAAATTAAAATATATTCATGATCGTCATTCTGGAGAAATTAATAAATCAAAATGGGGGAAATGAAAATATATTCATGATCGTCATTCTGGAGAAATTAATAAACCAAAATGGGGGAAACTAAAATATATTCATGATCGTCATTCTGGAGAAATGAATAAATCAAAATGGGGAAATTAAAATATATTCATGATCGTCATTCTGGAGAAATGAATAAACCAAAATGGGGGAAACTAAAATATATTCATGATCGTCATTCTGGAGAAATTAATAAATCAAAATGGGGGAAACTAAAATATATTCATGATCGTCATTTTGGAGAAATGAATAAATCAAAATGGGGAAATTAAAATATATTCCTGATCGTCATTGCTTTTTGTGTGATATTTCATACGTTCTTCGGGATCATAATTAGAAAATGTTAGGGCAGAACTTTCCACTTACAGACCATTTTGTGATAAGAATTATTTAAATCGACGAAATCAAGAACAGAAAAGATTCAAACCTTTGGAGGAGCAACTTCTTCTCTCTTCCAGATTCATCACACAAAACTACTCGTGGGAGGATCATCAGTGATGAAAAATAGCTACCTCAAGACTACACATGCGATGTGCTTGTGGCGCTTGAGGCACAAGTTCATTGGGTTCATTGATAATGTCCCTTTTTCTTAAAGGGTTCTTGCACCGGATAATTGTCTCCTGATCGATGTGCTTGTGGCGCTTGAGCTACCTTAGGACCAAAAGGCATACAAGTGTTTTCTAGCCTGCCTACACATGCGAATCTAGATCATTGGGTTCACACCCAGAGAGGCTTGTCTAAAGAGTTGAATCACCAAACAAGGGTCAACCCATAAAAAATCAGACGTGTCTAGTGAGGTTAACACACGCCTAGGTATTTTAGTGAATTGACCCATCAAAAGTCGTGTGATCTCATGCAGCAAGAGTAATGCCAATTATGTACCATTGTGGAGCATCATCAATCTTGGTCCCAATTTTTTGCCCATGAAAAATGTTGACCTGCCTAGTTCATGGTGACTTGAACAGGCATTGACTAAACTTGGGTATCCAAAAGGACCACCGAAGCTTATCCTAGATTTGTGGCCAAAGAAACGAAGACTTTGCCACTGGAAATTTACCTAAATATAGATGTAATAGCACGACTTTTTCAATATCTAATCCGGAATGCATGCATGAAACTCCAAACAGAACACACGTGAATTTAAAGACAAACAAGGGCTACGTCCACATATAACTCCAACCTAATGAGGTGATGATATTTATCATCACGCGTGGACTGGTGAATCAGGTGACCAAAGTCGTCGTATACTGACAATTCAAGGGGAGAGACTAAGCTCGGTGATTGGCTGCAATGCGAGTTCCGTTGAAGTACCGCGACCCACGACTCGTTTGACTGAACCTCTCGCGAGCGCAGGTCCACCGCTGGGGCCCGTACATTGAATGGACGAAAGCATCCCAACTCAAGAATTTTCCACTGGGAAAGTGGAGGCACTTTCCTCCTTACCGCAACCCACGTCGACCTATCCGGTGAAATCTGGAGGCCAGATCCAGGGGAAACTATAAAAGCGGAGGAATCTTCGAGTGGGGAGGGGTTGAACAGCGCGAGGGAACTGGGTTCATCGTATCGGAGGGAAATCCGCCGGAGATCTTGCTAAAGTTGAGTTCTCCTTCGCCTTTCAAAAAATAAAGCGAGGGAGAGAGAGAGAGAGAGAGAGAACGGGTGTTCGCGGAAAGAATCCAATCCCCCCTCTGGAGTCGGGCCCGTCCGTAGGCTGCGGAGAATCAACGGGAAGAATCTCATTCGCGGAGAGATCCGGCTTTCTTTGAGGAACATGAGTTGCCCACCTCGCCGCAGAGGGAGATGGCGATAAGGATCGCACCAGCGCGTCATCGTAAAGATGGGAATATTGTATATATTACAGCAGTCTCTGATCTCCTGCTCCCCCACGCGTGAACAGGATCAAAAGGAAGAGCTGCACGGACAAAGGAGCCTCCTCATGTGGCCTCCCTTCCCCAGAGCGGCCTTAAACATGGCTGTCAATCGGTGGCCGCCGGTAGGGATCAAACTAGAACGGCATATTCTCTCTTGTCCCCAGCCCACCCACGTCACGTCGCTCGGGAGGGATCAGATGACGACTGCGGATATGTCAACATCTTATCAGATTCACTTCGACACCCCCCTCAGGGCTCTCTCTCTCTCTCTCTCTCTCTCTCTCTCTCTCTAAATGTATGCATATGTATTTACGTAGGCTAGAAATACGTAGACTTAAACTATTAACCCGCATTTAGCGACCGTCCTCCTCGCACAGTTTCACCATGACGGTGTTCTTCGATCCGCTCACACCTCGAGAGAGAGATATGCTGGTGGCCTCGGGGAAACAAACATCTCCTGGCTGAGGTGCCCAAGTAGAAGTGGCTGCTCATGCGCAGGCAGATGGGGGCGACATGCAGATGGCGATAACCGCTGCCCTCTTGACTGTTACAGATCTGTAGTGCATATCCAAATCTCTCCGGAAAATATCTGATAATTTGTTTTCACCCTTGCAAATTTCGTCCCTAGAAGAGATCATCAGGAACGTAAGTCTATCCTCTATCAAGTTCCGAAGAGTCTCGTGCATACTCGCGCATCTTCTTCTTCACGGGTGGGTCACGTTACGAGGGACGTCCCAAATCCCATCTCGTTCACTAGTGGAGGGGAGGAGAGGTAGCGTTTTCCTCTCAGTCGACTGAAAGATGGGATGACGGGGGAGAGAGGAAGATGCAGCGGAGGAGACGCTTCCACAGAGACGCTTCCTCATGGGCAAATCCCCTCCGATTTTAAAGTTAGGAGTGGGAGAGGGGGACCCAGTGGGCGTGAGATGCCGCAGATGAAGGCGTTCTACCATTTGTTGCGAGTAAACCAGGGATATTCCTTTTATAATCCAGGAGAATACGCTATCTTCGAAAAGATAGTCGATCATACAGATCGCGAGATTCTCCGAGCCTGCCGGAAAGTTGCACTGTCCCGGAAATCCGAAGAGATCCCGCCGACGAACGCGATTAGGAAGGAACTCGAAGGGGGGAGCTCTGGAGACAACGCTACTTGCAACGCCGGGAATTCTGCTCAGAGGTGGATGGGAAGGGAAGGCGGCGGCGCTAGTTGCAGCGCCGCTTATTCCGTCCCCGATGGGGATCCTGGCGACAGAACCTCCGGCGGTGGATCTGGACGGCTCTTGGAGGAGGTGGTAGGGACGGGGATTCCATCCTCAAGTGGGGCAGCATCCCGCAGAATGCGGCAATCGGCAGTCTTTATTCCTCCCCCCTCCTCCCCGATATTCCCATCTCCCGCATCCCCCATCTCCCCGCTGGAACCCGCGCGAGCTCGCGGCTTTTATTTATAGGGATCGCCGGTGGTAGCCATCTTCACCAGAAGGACGGGTCTACTATTCAAAGCTCCCCCGCCTCCCCGCCATTCAAGAAGGCTATTAGGTGCCAACCCTCCTCGTCTCGCCGGCTATGGCGTCCAGTTCTCCGTGGACGGCAAAGCAGAACAAGCAGTTCGAGCGGGCCCTGGCGGTGTTCGACAAGGACACCCCGGACCGGTGGCAGAAGGTGGCAAGGGAGGTGGGTGGCAAGTCCCCCGATGAAGTGAAGCGGCACTACGACGACCTCATCGACGACCTCCGGCGCATCGAGTCGGGCCGAGTCCCCGTCCCCAACTACCGCTCCTCAGCCTCCCGGAGCGGCGGCAGCGGCGGCCGGGAGAGACTAGACGAGGAGCAGAGGTTGTCGTTAACTCTAAGCAACGACCCTTGTTTCTTCGGTTCGTCTTCTCCAATCCGCTCTACATTCTAACCGCTTCTCTTCCTCCTCCTTCCAGGTTCCGCCACCTGAAGCTCCATTGACGGAACTCGCGCACAGAGACTAAGAACCAGCAACCAGCCTTCCTGCCCGCCATCACACCTGTAGACACATAAAATAGATAACATGTACACATTCGCACAATCCCTCTCCCCTCTGTAGAATGCCCATCTCTCTCCGACGTAATGCAAACTGTCAGTGCTGCTCTCGTGTTCTCAATCGAGTATACTCCAAGTTCCCTTCGTCTCCTGAGCCTGGACGAGTTCTTTCCTTGAGCCCGCCGGCGAGAGGGGGTCGGGTCAATTGCACCGGCCACGCCGGGATGGGAGAAGACGTGGGTTCTTAGAACCAGAGGGGACACGTCACCCTGGTTCTCTCAAGGGCCTCGCTCTGCTCAAGCTTCTGAACTGTAGTTCTAAGGGCAACTAGATCCCTCAACGACGGAACTCCGCGATTTAAAGCGAGTTTCTCACCAACGGAAACAGAAGAGAGAAAATCCGTGGTATTTTCAGCGAATAATGGATCACACTCGACAGAGAAAATTGATCACCTTTTCTCTCTCGACCAGCTCTTTTCACTCCCTCAATCTGATTATATCTGTGTAGGTGTAGAGCATCAGCACCAGCAGTGTGGTTGACCCAAAGTCCCTCTCTCCCTTTCGAGTATTATGTCCTTTGTAGCTCATCATGGCTTCCTCGTGGCTGAAGGGTAAGAAAGGCCCACCACCACCTTCCCAATCCTTATCTCTTACTAGGAGACATGTCCCTACTCCTTTTTTGTCCATTGTTAGCATGGAAAGATGAATTACGATACTAGGCCGCTGAAACCACCCTCGTAGTTTCAAGCCATGCCCAGGGAGGTGACCAAATCGCCTCTGGGGCCCATCCGACCATTTTCTCAAGGCATGACCATGACCCCTCTGTGTATGGAGCTTGTTACATCACATGTGAGTGCAAATGGTGCTGGTATGTGATTAGAGAGGCCAAGGGAACAAACACCACGAGGAAGGGGGGGTGTCAATCTTGCTCACAAGAAAATAAAAATTAAAATGGAAACAATTAGGCAATTAGCTAATAATGGTAGAATAAATACCAAAAAGGGTTTTAACTAAATCTATAAAAATATTAAAGGTCATATAAAATGTACCAAACTGCAATCCTTCTACGGAGTATTTTCTACTATAGCACAATTTAGTTAAATCCTTTTGCATTGTTCATAGGGAGGATGTAGAGTTGTTGATGACAACATTTCTAAAAGATAAAGATTGACCATTGAGAAAAAGTCACGAGCACCTTGAAAAAATTATTATCTCGGATTTTAAAATAGGCTTAAAAGGATATCATTACACTTAATTGCATCAATATAAAATGGTCTAGTCAAAACTTCAGTCACTTGTTCTTGTCGTCATATTTTGATGTCAACAAACTAAATAAAAGTAAAATGATGAGAAATACGATTGCCAAAATCAATGCACATATATCATCTACTCGGCAGTTCATTCTATAAACCCTTAGCAAGGTACATCGTGAGTTTATTATGATTACAACGCTGATGGGTCATCTTTGCCTTTCTTGTTTCAATAAAATGGGCTGATTACAAAGTCAACTCACCATATGAAAATGCACTGCATTTTACTTTAGATGTAAAAGTATAAAACGAATTCAGAGTCATAATCAAGTAACAACACTAGATGCAAGTATGTTTGGAAGTCTAAGTAATGACATGGGACAATGGCTCTAAAGACAAGTATAAATGATGGAACGGAAATAGACCAATTCTACCCCCTCTGGTTCCTGTCATAGTTCTCATAAGCAACGATCTTAATATCTTGGATCCAAAAAATATAATTACAAATGTGAATTGTCAACTTTTGAAAGTGTTAAAGATCAATTTTTAGTCTCCTGGGGTAAATGGCACAAATTCATTGACCTAGCTCACATTTAATAATTTTTAGCTTAATAGTCTGACGTTGGCCTAATGCATTGTTTCTGTTATTTTTGTTTTATAATTTGTCTTATTTTGCAGGGATTTAACATTTAAAAATTAAAACACTTGTTTACTACTTGAAATGGTCAACTAAGAGTTCATATTTCGTTACCATAAATATCTCCTGAAAGTAATCGATTTTTTAACTTAGTCCTTGACTATTCCCATTGTTTTAGTTAACTGAATTAGTGAGGTTGGTCGAATCTAAGGTGGTGGTGTTAATATTTATGCATCATGAAAACCTCACAGCTAATTGATTATTTCAGCTTTCGTATGATGAAAATCGCAATGAGTGTCTCCAATTGAGAACATGTGGGGTCACATGTTTAATATGTGAACACTCGTCTTTAATATGTGAACATATTTTAGGGGATTAAAAGATGATTTTATTAATATAGTTGGCGTTGTAACATTTTCGACAAATATTGGGTAAATATTAGATAATTTAATAATAAGAATATAAACCTTAGTGCTCTTTCTCTTTCTCTCTCTCTCTCTCGTTGAAACCCCTGGCAAGAAAGGCCTCCGTCGAGGGCCGCCGTTCCCTCGTTCTCTAGCTCTCCGTCTTGGCGGGCAATGGGATTGAGTTCCATTTCGCGCAGAGTGGTCCTGGGTTCCCTGGCCCTTGCGGCAGCGACTGCAGTTTCCTCCTCCTCGATATCTTTCCTTACAGAATTTCGTGCTTACGCTGATGGGTTTGACCCCGAGACCCTGGAAAGGGGTGCCAAGGCTCTCCGGGAGATCAACAGCTCTCCACATGCGAAGCAGGTCCTTCCCCTGTTTACTCTTCTTCTTTTCGCTCTCTCGGTCTCTTTTTTTCTCTTATGCACTCACACACTTACACACTATTCCCGGGTACCATGTTGTCGTCTGTCTGTAGTTTTCTATAATGTCTTTGGTTGCTTTATCCTGCATCATTCACACTTGTGTTGTTCAAAACCTCTCAGGTATTTGAGGTGATGAGGCAGCAGGAGGACACGCGGCTAGCAGAACTGGCAGTCGAGAAAGCCCATTTCAAAGCAGTGGAAGTAGAAGCGGATATTGTATGCAACGACCCGTCTCTCTCTCCCTCCGAAATGTGAACTCCTTTAACGCTCTGAATTCATTCTCTGCTTTCCAATAGAGGGGTGTTCTTTCTTCGAGGAATCAGAATCAAAAGTCCTGATCCGACATTTTAATCAAAACCAGCATTATTAGATTTCAGCTAATCATGCTGGCTTTTTAAGGTGAAACAGATCAACAAGGTCAAAGGTTTTTGGATTTTTTCGTAGACCCACACAAATAACTGATGCTTGCTAGCTTTGACAAATTGGTCCACTGCTGATTTCCATTTTTTCATTTCCGACAATGTCTTTTCAAAGCTACGTTTCTTCTAGATTTAGGAGGAACTCCTACATATGGCGACATAACTGATATTCTATTATTGATTGCGTCTTGGGCTTCTAAGAAGGGTCGCACTGACCGTATGAAAATAGCCTGAGTGAGAGTCCTAAGGAGGATATTTTAAAATCACAAGTCATTGTGTGCTTTGAGACCTTTAGCCACTGAAGTACCTGGAGAATTTTGTATCAATTTCTAAATGGTAGCATCATTGTCTTGTGTCCTTGAATCCACGTATCATTCTGATGTATTATCTGACATTCTCCTACTCTATAGGATGGAAGCTTTCCGAATCTCGCCTCCCATCCTAAATTTTCTGTCGTGAATTTTAAGAGAAAAATATGTGCCTTTTTGTTCCCGTCTGAATTGAAGTTATGAAGGAAACAATTTTAGGGGTGGGCACGAAAATTTTCAACTTTTTCTTTATCTTTGCTTTCTCCATCTTAGAGGAGTCTTCAAGTTGCAGATTTTATTGATATTTCTGATTTGCACTAGTTGGGTAAGGACGGAAGACTTAAATTTTTAGGGATAAATTTTATAAGACTGATATTAATATGTATTTATGTTGTCTATAAATTATCTTTTCGTCAGGTGCATTGTTATTGATTATTTTCGGTGCAGTTGTCAAACGCTCTTGAATTGCTGCAGCGATGGGAGTGCCATCCCGTCGAATTTACTTGGTGAAATATGTCTTTGTCAGCTAGCTGTGGGCTATTTACTGGGAAACGAATACAAGACGGCTTAATTTTTTTTTCAGATATTTACATTATATTTACAAGAGCTCTATTATATGCCAAAAAGGAACCCATAATTGGAATTCTAGGCTGCTGGTTATATTCTAGTGAATGTGTCTGTCCATTTTTCCGTAAATTATCTTTCTTCTTTGATCAAAGTACTGTTTTCTCTTGTTGTCTTTTTTTGGCTCTTTTTTATCTATTAGAGAAAAGTAATCGGTTTCCACGTTGGGAAAAGATTACTACTTTCTTGAGGGTCCTACTGCTCATGTGGAGCCTTTGGTTATCTCCAGGGCTACGAACCTTTCCTTAGTTGAAGTCAGTTTTAGGGTATCATCTATCTATGTAAATACTCAGTTCCTGCATCCGTCTTGCTCGTCTATTTTCGAGGAAGATAGCCATTGTTGCACCAATTTCCGTAGTCTTTGTAATCAGCCTTTTTGTTTCTTACAGTCCTTTTTTGTATGACTCATGCTGAACGTAGATGGTGAAAGATGCCTGAACCTTCAACTTTGCCTTTTTTACGTACCTGGTTTTTTAACCCTGCCCTGATGTTGTTTCGGGAAGGCGCTCTTCTGTTGGTTAATCTGTGTTCTTGAGGCACATTTCTTTTTAGAGAAACAAATGTTTTTATGAAATCTACTTGCCTGACTTTTTAGGTTTTATCTTTTACATACAGATTTTCTAGCTCCCTCTGTGTGCAAGTAGTTCGGCTAGAACACCTAGTTGACACTCTTCCGGCTGGAAATTATTTGATTCTCAAATGGGCACCAGTTTCTTTCCGAATTTGATACACTCTCTGGTGGCAGGAAAAGCAGAGGAAAATGTCTGAAGAACAGAGAAATTTAGTTCAACAGCAAGCGCAGACAAAGGCACAAATGTTACGTTACGAAGATGAATTGGTTAGGAAAAGACTGCAGGTTGGTGGAGTAATATTAATGCCTTCACCTGATCTGTTTACTTTGAGATTTGACTGTGACAATCTTTGTCCCCAGACTGACCATGAAGCACAGAGGCGACAAAACGCTGAGCTTGTGAAGATGCAAGAGGAGTCGTCTGCACGCAAAGAACAAGCCAGGCGTGCTACAGAAGAACAGATTCAAGCACAATTGCGTCAGACTGAGAAAGAAAGAGCTGAAATAGAACGTGAAACCTTAAGAGTAAAGGCAATGGCTGAGGCTGAAGCCCGGTCTCATGAGGCAAAGTTGACGGAGGAACATAACAGGAGAATGCTCCTAGAACAAATGAAAGGCGAAAGGGAAAAGTGGATTGCAGCGATCAATGCCACTTTCAGCCATATTGAAGGTATTGCGCTGAACGCTAATCTGAGTTGTTCTGCCTTGGTTGGATTATTTGATGTATGGACGCTTCAATTTCTTAATCCATTTACTGTATATATTCGTTGACTCTGGATACTGTGAATCAAGATTAATTGACTTAGTGTCATATTTATATTTTGGAAAATTGGAAAGCGGAATAAGGTCTTACCAGACCTTGTGGCCTTCCTATAACTATGAACTATGAAATTGCCGTGATGTTCTACGATTCTCTACTTTTTCTCTGAACACACTCTTGCATATATTATATGTTTGCCCTATTCTATCTAGCCTTTAAACTGTACTCTAATGAAATCCTTTATGTGAGAATCCCTCGTAATGAATCCATTTAGTTTTTTCATTTCTTTCTGATGCGAAATGCAGAATTTTTCTTCGGTTTTTGACATGGTTAGCCGAATGCGGATTCTAATCTGAATCCACCAATATGGATCGGTCTCTAGGGCATCATGTTCCTGGCTGGATTGGAACCGACCTGAGATTGGGTCAGATTGGGGGAGAATCAATGTCTTGGATAAAAGATGGATTCTAGTTACAAACGTAAATGGCCTAACATACGACTGTGAAAACGCATTAGAGTTTAAAATATGATTCCTGGACAAGCTGTTAATGTTTCATAAGACCCCAACTGATCGTCTGGTACCACATTCTCCCTGAAAATATTCCCATTTTCTGGGGGGGAGAGAGCTCAGGCGCGGGGTGGACGACCAGTCAGAGCAGGTGGCAGGCAGCATAGGGAGTATTTTGTTCCCTGTCGCTCTTCCCTCTTCCGCTTCCTTCAGCATCGGTTCTGTCCTGTTTCTTTCTCCGACAGGCATTAGAATCTTGTATGTATGGGCGACGCACCAGCTCCACACGGGTCCTTGAATAGTATTATTGATAGTCGATCTCCTTGTCAGCTGCCTGATTCCAGGAGTGGAGATGGCTAAAATGCCCTTTTATTGTTTTATTTTTATTTCAAGTAAGTCAGTCATTGACTGCAATTCGTGTTTGAAGTCTAATTTAGTTTCAAGTTTTGTTTTTTTGTTGAAAGAATACAACGAGTTTGTACACCCCAGAACACCCATTATCGCCCTCAATATTCATACTGGAGCTCAACCTCGTTATCTTCATGATGGATGACACTGATTTTTTTTCTTTAAACTGGAGCCATAATACCTTGCGTGATCTCTGATCGCTGTGGTGTTTCTATTCGGGGTGGGTCTTTTATGCCCTCTAGAGAGAATAAGCCAAGTTGTTTTGCATATGTTGTGGCCAGCAGGCGGGCAGTGCTCCGCGAGGTTGAAGTGCCAAGTGCACTCGTAAGCAAGCTCTTTAGAAAGGGGCGGGTCGTCCATTGGCATGCTGCCCGCCTCTCTAATGAGCCTACTGGACTAAGCACGATTGGGACTCTTCCATGATTGATGTTCTCCGATTAGCACTGACGTGGGCATGCTCGATACATCTGCGCCAACGAAATCCGTTGCCTGAAGAATCCCATCATTGTTAGTGAGGATTCCATGGCTATGGCTTGCTTTCATCAGTGCTCCTCGGTGTGTTTCAGGTGGCTTTAGGTTGCTGTTAACCGATAGGACCACTCTGGTCATGGCCGTCGGGGGAGGCACCGCCCTCGCCGCTGGTGTCTACACGACGAGGTCAACTTCTGATCAGTGCTTTAGCTTTTCCATTTTCCCTCTTCTTCTGCGTCTCAGTCTTCTTCGTTGAGCAAACTGCTGCTGTTGATCGGCGCCTCTCTTCTTCTCCTTTGCTCGCCAGGGAAGGAGCCAGAGTGCTGTGGAACTACGTCAACAGGATTTTGGGCCAACCTTCGCTCATCAGGGAGTCGTCGATTGCCAGGTTTCCATGGTCGGGGCTCGTTTCACGGGTCAGAAGAGGGATGCGGACTTCCCCGTCCGGTCAGATTGAGCCATCTCCGGGCCGGCACCCCGCTTTCGGCAACATCATTCTTCATCCTTCGCTGCAGACGAGGATCGAACGGTTGGCTCGAGCTACGTCCAACACCAAGGCCCACGAGGCGCCGTTCCGTAACATGCTCTTCTACGGGCCTCCTGGCACGGGCAAAACGATGGTTGCGAGGGAGATGGCTCGGAAATCGGTAGGCTGCTGCAACTCATTTCCCTCTAAACGTGGATGCTCGCCCAGTAGGCTGCTGTTCGTTCTCTTCGTAATCTCTGAGCACGCACAAGGAAGATGTTCGAGCTTGTAGACTAACTAGATGGGGTTGGACGATGATGGTCTCATTTTTCTTGGTATGGAAGATGGGCTTACAGGTCTCACAGGGTCTGTGCTGGCTGTCGACAGGGCCTGGACTACGCGATGATGACGGGGGGAGACGTCGTCCCTCTGGGCTCACAGGCGGTGACCAAGATCCACGAGATATTCGACTGGGCGAAGAAGTCGAGAAAAGGTCTACTCCTCTTCATTGATGAGGCCGATGCCTTCCTGTGCGAGTAAGCATCCCTTTATCTCTCCTTCTATTTGGAGTATGATGGTGGCTAGAAATCATTGCACGGGCCTGTTGAGAAAGAGAGAGATGATGATGATGAAGAAGAAGAAGAACAGGTAGTAAGTGAGTGGCTGCATCGTGGGCTGATGATGAACAACAGGAAGCTAGGGTGGTGAGAGTCTGATGTTCTATGGAATGCAAGATGTTCACAGTCGTTGTTAGTTGTCAGGGCTCGAAATCGCATTGTTGTTCTGAAGATGAGGAATTTGATTCCATGGAGTTTCTCGGACGTCTGATCGAGGGGGAGCAGTCGGAGAGCAAGGAGGGATTCTTACTTACGGCTGCTGGGTTTTGTTTTTGCAGGAGGAACAGCGCTCGAATGAGCGAAGCCCAGCGGAGCGCCCTCAACGCGCTGCTCTTCCGCACCGGCGACCAGTCGAGAGACGTCGTCCTCGTCCTGGCGACCAATCGGCCGGGGGACCTCGACGCGGCCGTCACGGACCGCATCGACGAGGTGATCGAGTTCCCGCTCCCCGGCGAGGAGGAGCGCCACCTACTGCTGAAGCTCTACCTGGACAAGTACCTGGCGGCGCCGCCGCTGAGCTCCGGCTGGTTCAGGAATAAACCGCAGGAGGTCACCGTGGAGGACGACGTCTCCGAAGACGTGATCCGCGAAGCCGCGCGGAGGACGCACGGCTTCTCCGGCCGCGAGATCGCGAAGCTCGTCGCCGGCATCCGATCTGCCGTGTACGGTCGCGCGGACTGCGTGCTGGACTCGGAGCTGTTCATGGAGATGGTGGAGTACAAGGTCGCCGAGCACCACCGGCGCATGGAACTCGCCGGCGACAGCGGACGGTGAGAGGCAGAGTGGAGCCCGGACGGCGCTTGGCGGACGGCGATGGATCTGGAGTGCTTCTTGCTTGCGAACGAGAGAAACTATTCTCTTATTAATTTCTCTGAAATTTTTCTTCGATGCTTATGACGCTGTGGCAGAGGGGAGACGACGGAGAGAACTCGTTTCTCTCGGCTATGGGTTGGCTGCCCTCTGCCCACATGGTGTCACAGGTAGTGATCAGTGCAAGAGGGGGGAGAGAGAGATGGCAGGGACAGAGAGGCGGAGAGGGATCGAGAGAGAGGAGTGAGAGAGAGGATGATGGCGCCACTTGGACTTGTCGCTCCTGTCCCATCTCCGTCGCTGCCGCCCCAGCCGTGGCGGGGTCGGAGTCGTGACGTGGGAGGGGGTGATGGCGCCACTTGGACAGGTGTAACGTGGGCTCGGGGGTAGCGCCAAAGGATGGAGGGGAGCGGCGTTGAGTCAGCCACGCGGGAAGAATTGTGACTGGGGAAGAGAGGACGACGACACCGGGAAGCAGATCGCCGATCGGCTTCTTCGGGGGCTCCTGATCCTCCTGGCGCAGGGGGTAAACTGTGCTGCAATGGCGGAGAACGCGAGCTTCCGGGAGGAGGCAGAAGAGGGCTCCAACAACTCCCGCAAGCCTTTCCTCCACACCGGCAGCTGGTATCGGATGGGCTCCCGCCAGGGCAGCCTCATGGACAAGCTCGCCAACTCCTCCGCTCAGGTCCTCCGCGACTCCTCCGTTTCCGTTGTCCTCTGCACCCTCATCGCCGCCCTCGGCCCCATCCAGTTTGGATTCACAGTTAGTACTCCTCGCCCTCGCTCCTTCCCTCCCTCCCTCTTTGTCTATGTATACTTCTCCTTCAATCTCCGCCCCAATTCCTCGATCCTTTGAGCGCAGTGCGGCTACTCCTCGCCCACCCAGGCCGAGATCATCAGCGACCTTGGCCTCTCCCTTTCAGAGGTGAAATCCCCTGTCCCTGCCCAATCCTTACCTTCTTCTCTCGTTGGATCTCGTAAATTTCGCCCGTGATGGCTCTGATCGATTTCTTGGGCGCTCGATGAAACTTCGCGTTTGAACAGTTCTCCTTCTTCGGCTCTCTGTCTAACGTGGGCGCCATGGTTGGGGCGATCGCCAGCGGGCAGATTGCCGAGTACGTAGGGCGCAAGGGGGTAAGCCGTTTCATTCATGGCTCTGAGGATTGACCAGGGAACAACTGAAGTAGAAGTACCGTCGGTGGATCCTTGCTCCTATTCTCTTTTCGTGTGCACGAACGACCGGTAATGCATTGGTTTCTCTGTGGGTATGCAGTCACTGATGATCGCCGCCATCCCCAACATAATCGGGTGGCTCGCCATATCCTTTGCAAAGGTATGCTGCTAGGAATCTCTGACATGAAGATCCTCCTTAATAAAGTTTTGCCTCTTTCCACATGTGTGTCACTTCTCCTGCTCTGCAGGACACTTCCTTCTTGTACATGGGTCGGCTACTGGAAGGGTTTGGTGTGGGTGTGATCTCCTATGTGGTCAGTCTTTCTACATTTCCCTTCATCTTCAATCCCATCGTATGGCCTGTTCGTTCTGTGGGATCTCACTCCTAAACGTTTGGCTGTTACTAGGTGCCTGTCTATATAGCAGAGATAGCTCCACAGAACAGGAGGGGTGGCCTCGGTTCTGTGAATCAGGTTGGCCTGGGTGTGCTATTTCTTGTTTGATAAAAGCCTTCCTACTTGTGTCTTCTAAGCCATTTTTGCCGCCCACGCTCATTCCGTCTACAGTACGATTTATATGAATCTGATTGTCTATTTATCCTTCTTCTCCTGCAGCTATCTGTCACTATAGGGATAATGCTGGCCTACCTCTTCGGTTTATTTCTACACTGGAGGGCACTTGCCGTGCTTGGTAGATGCATTTCTAGTGTCGATGAACATAACTGAAATCATAATAATAATCACCCATGACGAATCATTACCGGAAATCTCTTTACTCCTTGTGCAGGGATCTTGCCCTGCACACTTTTGATTCCTGGTCTGTTTTTTATCCCAGAATCCCCCAGGTGGCTGGTAAGTTTCTTTGGGGAAGAGCCTTTATCAGCAGCCATTTTAAAATTCTTAAAGTAAAGTTGTGATTATATCTTGTAGGCAAAGATGGGCTTAATGGATGACTTTGAAACTTCACTCCAAGTTTTGAGGGGCTTCGACACAGATATCTCTGTTGAAGTGAATGAAATCAAGGTGCAGAGGCTCTGAACTTATCACTTCACCATAATTTGTTTGACTATATCTTTTTGCCATTTTTCTTAACTCGTCTCAAAAGAAAGGGGTAGATCAGGAAAATCAGTGCAAAGCCCATGATTACCAATGTTTGGGAGGGGCTCACGATCTTCTAATGTTGCTGCATGTACATCTGGATTCTACCTTGGCAGAGGTCAGTAGCTACAACAACAAGAAGAACCACAATCCGCTTTGCTGATCTGAAAAGACGACAATACTGGCTTCCACTCACGGTACTGTGGGACATTCGGTGGTTTCAGCCTTTCATGCTACTCAGTGCTGTGGTATGTGATTGTCTTTTATCATGTTGAAACTCTGCAGATAGGGATTGGTTTGCTTATCCTTCAGCAGCTCAGCGGGATCAATGGAATCCTATTTTACGCCAGTAATATTTTTCAAGCTGCTGGTGAGGACGTTGTCTCCATACTCACCTCCTGTTTTGCAGTTTTATGCGATCTTCACCATGTGCTTTATTTATATTATTTTGGTTGCTCTCTTGAACTGCTTTAAAAAGGAAAGGGTAACGTGATTATCTATTTCTTCATGTGCCAGATTTTGGATTTGTTGGATCACGTTGTAACTTGGTCATTGCTGTAGAGTAGCATTTGGTTGACTCTATCGTTTAAGGCTAATGAAGGAAAATAAAATGTTAGGTGAAAGGTGAGAGCAAGAATATTCGCCACAGTTAAAAGATCATGGCAAAAAGTATTGCTAATAAATTCACATTCTTTTGTGCTAAACAGGACAGAAGGGATCTTAGCAATGGATCAAATATGATACCTAAAGGGACAGCGAATAAATTCACGTTCATGAAAATGCTATTAAAGGCAAACAGAGTCTTTCCTCACTTCCCTTAAATAGAAGGAGAAACATGTAGAAGTGCAATCTTTAATAAGGCTGATGAGACTTTTATGTCATGGATGAGATCTTTCAATGGTTCTCTTCACTGCAAGATTAGAGACCAGTTTTCCAAGTGCTAAAGCGACGAATGAAGTAAAACCATGTGATCTAGATCTGGAATTTAACAGTAGTCATCATCTACTAGCTTAACTGGTGTTTCATTATTTTAAGTCATGGGAGTAAATAGTCTTACAATCAACATCATTAAATCATCACAATAATTATTTATTTTCTATTCATTGATCAAAATCCAACATGTGTCAGGTGCGAAATTCAACATCCTCTATGTTCGTACTATCTGGAGAATTATGTGCCTACCCAAAATCGTTTTACCCTGTTCTTTATTTTCAAATTATTACCACAAAGCTATCTCATTGTTATAACCAGAAACTGATAAGCAACTGAACTACCTCAAGAAAACGGGACCTCTAGTATGGACAGGGGAGGACAAGAAAATAAAATGTATTCTAAATAAGATGGTCTGTTTAATGCTAGGGACATTTCTTCATCTCAACGTTTTTCCTTTTGAGTGTCTAAACTGTTATGTTTGGCAAGAGTTAGCCGGAATCATTTTAGAATGTAGTAGTTTAAAGCGTTATTGCTAAAAAAATGCACACTTTTGTGGAAATAACTACTGATGTTATAGGTAGTCGAGCCATGACATTTATTTTCTATCATTGTAAAGTATTTGGAAGCCGATATTAATTGAAGTTTTCTGCACAGTGTGTTTTTTATTCATTTTCTCTAAAATATGATTGATGGTGGACTATTTCTTTCGATTTCACATCTGGTTTGGTTTCCTTTCAAAAGTTCTGCGTTCATTGTGCTGAGTGTTCTCATTATATCCTTCCCCTCTGTGGGAGATTCACCTCTGAATGCTTGGCATGGTAGTCGCTTGTGTATTTCTATTTCTGGCATCTGTCGGATTTTGCATTCCAAACTGTTTTCCCCTTCAAAATTTTGATTCCAGTATTATTTTTACAATCAGATATATCCTGATGTGAATTCAATGCCATAGCATCTCCTTGGGTGCCTTTTCTGCTTGCATATTTCTTTCTTTATTAGTTCTCCGTTTTTATTTCTTACATGTGACAATGTGCTCCAAAGTAATCTTGTGTTGGAGCACTTGCCCTATTTTTTTTTTCATGGTTTCTTTGCCCCTTCAGGTTTGTATGCATTGTAACATCCAAGCATAATAATCTGCTTAAACCAGTGTCCAAGGTATCTCAGTATAGATCTTCCATCCAAAGATTCTTTACGATGTTTTTATTTTTCAGGGTTGTCATCAAGCAATGTTGCCACAGTTAGCCTTGGAGCTATTCAGGTTTAGGAACTGAAGACCTTCTGCAGAGCCAATCAACGAGCTATTCATGTCATGGAATTTTGATATCTTACTTGACATGTGATCCACAGGTCGTTGCTACTGGAGTTACCACTTGGCTTCTTGATAAAGCTGGGCGTAGGCTCCTCCTTATTGTGAGTCTGAGGCAACATAGCTTGCAGTAGTAAATTTAGGGATTGTAGCGGTGGATATTGAGATATCAATGATTTCCTTGCCCAGATCTCAACTTCGGCAATCACACTTAGTCTGCTCGTTGTTGCTGTTGCGTTTTATTTGAAGGTCAGCCTCCTCTTTGTTAAACCTTTTTGATGGTTTTTTTTGTTTCCTGAATTACCATTAATTCACTGGCCGATTGATTTCTAAGGTGGGGGAATGGCTCATGAAACCCATATGAGCACCTAATATCTAAATTACTCTTCCTTTTGCTTTTTTGTTTGATTGGAGACAGGGTGTTGTCTCAGAGGATTCTCGCTTTTATCTTATACTGAGTGTGCTGTCTTTGGTTGGTCTGGTGGTATGTTCTTTCTCCGCAGAGGACGTTCAACTCTCCTATGATACGTATTTTCCCTTGACTGCTTGAGAACTTTCTTCTGCACAGGCTTTCGTGATTTCGTTCTCCCTTGGATTGGGAGCCATTCCCTGGATCATAATGTCTGAGGTGCGTATGGTCACTAGGTCTCTCTGCCCATTAATTCTCGGAACAGCTGTAGCCTTATGATATCTTCTTTCGGACGTGTACCATCTATTTGCTGTTTTATTAAGCATCTTTCGAGGCTGTTCCGCATCTCCAGGATATCCTGTTGTTGTTATGGCCTTTTCGTCCTCATCTCTATCCAAATAACATTCATGTTGGTCACTATCATGCCATGTCTAGGCAGAACCAACCTGTTGTTCCTCTCATGCAACCGACTAAATGGGAAATTCTGTATGGTTTCAACATATTGGAAACTGATCTAGTAGCCCAGTTGAGATCCAAATTAACATAGAGATTCACGTCACAACTTGTGGATTTCCCTCGCTGCCACTTTTGATTTGTTATCATTGTTCTTTGTATAGTATTTTGCGCAGTTGAAATTAAATTTTGTTTTGTCATGAATACTGGTAGAAATCTGAGCCGGTTGAAGCCCTCCTGAGGACCACCCATTTAGAGCTTGAGATCAAACTCATTTGTCTGTTTGTGGAAGCACGATCAACATCAGATCTTATCGGGCCTCCTTGCATTGACTTTGACCACTAGACATGCAGGTCACCCGAGATTTTCCTAGATGTTCGCCTCTGGGTATGGAGGCTACATGTGGTTGCATTAGATGTTGACCGTTTGACCGCCGCCTATGAACATCTAACTCCTTGTAGCATCTTTAGCCCTGATAGGCGACTAAGGCGAAAAACCCAAGCCTTTTTCTCTGTTGCCTATGACAGTTGATGCCGGGTGTTGACTTTTGATGGCAGGTCATGCATTAGTTCAGTCTTCCTTTCGTTCCTCACAGCAAGCATTGGTTTTGCTCCTGCAGATACTTCCAGTGAATATAAAGGGTCTTGCTGGCAGCGTGGCAACCCTCGCCAACTGGCTCACTTCATGGGTTATAACGATGACGGCCAACTTGCTCTTGGATTGGAGCAGTGGAGGTTTGGCTCTCTCTCTCTCTCTCTCTCTCTCTCTCTCTCTCTCTCTCTCTTTCTCCTTTTTCCAGCTATCGAGGAACCTGAAGGGCTGCTTCGTCTATTGCAGGGACCTTCACCCTGTACGCAGCTGTCAGCGCCTTGACCGTGCTATTTGTTGTGAAGTTGGTCCCGGAGACGAAGGGCAGAACCCTGGAGGAGATCCAACGGTCCTTCCGATGAGCCTGTTTGTTCTCCGCAGAAGAAGAGCCCCCATTTGCAGGCAGAAGAACCGGGGTGGTCGGCGGGCGGCACGAGAGAGGAGATTATTCTTTTATATTCGTCTGCGTTTCGAGTGCAGAGGAGACATCCTTCATTCATCCCAGGCCGTTCTGGCCCGCCGACCTTGCCCACCCACGGTGTATCTAGTGCAAATAATTATAGGACATTTCGACTGCCGGGGTTTTTTGCTTTATCAGAGGAAATTATTATTATGGGCAACTAACTGTTCACAGAGGGTCCATTAATTCTTCTGACTAGACGCACCTTCCTTAGAATGGTTGACTTTGTCTGTCTCACACCGAACTGAAGCCTCCCAGCTCTCAGCTACTAACACCTCTGCAGAGCGTTCAAGATCAGCTACATCTTATGGAGAAGTAGGAATCACTCAGCAATTGTTAGCCTTATCTTTGTTGGGATCTCAACAATTCCATGCCATGTCTTCGACGAAAACTTAGCCATGAAAAGAATTGTAAAAAACGGCAAAGAATGGTCGTAGGCAAAGTATAGGGGCAAATAGTTGATATCAGAATCAACAAGAATCAAACAGGTTTGAGAATATCGCTCAACGACCTAATTTTATTGATCCTTCTTTCTTAAATGTCTACTCCAATGAGATTCGCCTTCAAACTTTCCCCTCATTAGTGTAAGATTTTCCTCTAACCTTGCTTTGATGTCATAGATATCCTTCATATGTCATATACATATTTAATTTCCTGAATTAGTATTAACAAAAAAGCTGAAATGGTTTATTGCTTATGAAAAAGATTCTTCTTTACTTTATTAAAGCAAAATTTTATTTTTATGTTATGAAATTTATTTTGTATAGAAGGCAACATTTTTAATATTATCATTAAGTTTTAATGTGCTAAAAATATGAATCTAAATGATACTCTTTTGTGAACTAGAACGTACTATTTTATGTTATTTTATATTTTTAAGTTTTCCAAAAATAATTGGTTTACCTTTGTAGTGTCCACATGACAAGTAAGGTGTAGAGGCTGGCTGCAAGGATAAAAACTTTCTATTTAAGTGTTGGCATGATGCAACTCAAAGTGGAGACTCGTAGCATTCCTATTTTACATGCACATCAAAGTTGATTTTTGAATGTTTTTTTATATTCTTGATATATTGTTGTCATTTTATAATACATTTATTGTTCATACAACTCTTTCTTTCCTTATTTGAGACTTATGCAAAAGATATATAGAAATTAATACAAAATATGTATTTTTAAAATTACCAAATGATCTATTTTCTACTTTCTAGATTGATAAAACGATTTTATATTAATTTTTTATTTAAATGGGTATATCATATGAAAAGACTTAAAAAGAGGCCTTTGTTCTTTTGCCTAACATAAGGTATGAAATGGTAGTCTATTCCCTCTCATTTTAGTCCATTCCTCAAAAGGCTAGCATGTATGCAAAGAGGGGTGATGAGTGTGTTGGAATGATAAGGCTAGTAGAAACACTAAGAGGGGGGGGGGGTCGGGGGGGTGAATTGAGCTTTATAAAAATTTTCATAATTTTTTGATTCTCAAATAGGTTTCTAATCAAGCTTGTCTATGTGTCAATACACGTAAAAGCTACAAGTGACAATAAGGTTTTCCAATATTCTCTTATTAAGAAACTATATATTTTTATTCTTTGCACCTCAATTAACTATTTTTCAGGCCTAGAGAAAAGTATCATTTCGTATCAACTATTCTCCTCATAAATACACACTTATTTTTAACAGGATCAACAACTCAAAACTGGTAAGTTCATCTCTACAAAGACCCAGCCTCTCTTATGCTAAACATAGTTATAAACATCACATGTCTTCACCAAGTAACTCTCCTAGTTACCTTAAGCTTGATGGAAACACCAATTGCAATCATTGTTTTGTTTGAATTTTAGATCAGGCTGATGAAGAGTATGCATTAGTTCCTTTGTCGTTGATGCATGTAATGTGAAGATCTTGATGAAGAGTGTTGGATCTTTATACTTTTTTTCATTTGTTGGTCGATAATTCCTTTCTGATATATTGGCCTTCATCTTGTTAGTTCTCACCTTTTTAGACTTTCAACTTTTGAAATCCTAGCAAATTCTTGTTGTTTTCTTTTGTGATTCCTATATTTAACATTCCAATATTTGATTCTCCCTAATTCTACAATCTCTTGAATTCAAATTTGAGTCTTTACTTTCTAACTTGTGCTATCTATGTTGACTCCATATCATCAAATCTTACTTCAATTTTTGTGCAGATATTTGTGTGACATGTCACCCTCGAGATAAACTTTCTAAAAAATGAATCTTCAATCTAATGTTTATTTCCCTATTGTTTTGAAACACAAATAACTTGAATAACCGGTGTAATATCATGTAGAAAACATATAGAATTGATAAATGTGTCAATAGTATTGTTAGATTATCATATATATAAATTGGAGGATATATTTCACTTGTGCAAATGTGTTGACACGAGTTTTGTGTGGACTACTACCATATGACCATGTAACCTTTTGTTTGTAGATCTTTCTTCCATTTATAATTTTTTTTATTAAAGTATTTCTAAGATAAAAAGACAACCTAATCTCAAGGATTAAATTATTCTAACTGAAATCATAATCATTTAAAAAAGAAAATCAATATGATTTGTTGGTTGAGTATATTGAGCATTTAAATCATATAATTAAACTATACAAATTAACACTAATATAATATGATAAATTTTCAATAAGTTTTCATTGATAATCATCAAAATCAAGGGCATCAACATGATGCTTATCGCATGTCAATTGTATTTTGTCCATGTCATGTGTCAAATTGGCGATTATGAAAATTAAATTGTCTTTGTCAAAAATTGGACATCTCTCTTCTTACTAATTGGTCAATGCACCACCTTGATGGGTAGACAATTTCTTTGTGGGTCAACATGTGGAGAAATAAAATTTCTTTTATTCTCCTAAAATTTCTTCTATTTTCTTCTTGTGATTTTTTTCAACCTGGTTTGATATTGATATGTTTATATAGATCTTACTGCTTCATTTGAGACTTAAAAATATAATTATGCCAACAACACAAGATTTAAATATTCATATCTTGATTTAAATATTAGTGAATTCCAATATAATTGATGAAAGTTTTCATCATAGGCTTCTTAGAAATTTGTTTTTGAGCATCAAAATCATCACCTCAACAATCTTCCCATTTTGAAAGTTGAATGGTTAACCATTTTAATCTTGCAAGATTTATATGTGATGATTGAAGAATTTAACAGAATGCCAAGAAAATGAGTCAAATGCATAACGAGATACATCTGTGCTCTTCTTGAGTAGGTAGGTGCTGTGTTTTGATGATGATCATAACATATGAACAATAGTTTAGATATTTCTACGTGTATGAAAAATGCATAAATGTGATCCTAAGTATTTCTAGGATAACCAAAGAGAATGAAAAATTTTCGTGCTTATATTTGATTTATGTTTATCAAATAATAGTATCACGTACCCTTGCATTTAATCTTAAATTAATTGGAGTTAAATGAGGAGAAATAGCGGGTTTGAGATTAAAGAGTAATAGATCAGGATAATGGGCTTAATTCAAAGTCCATTGGATCTGGTTAGTGGGCCTTTAATTTATGGATGTAGGATTCTCTTAAAAGTGTAAATGGATCGCTCTAAAATAGGATTCGAAACCTAGAAATGATGAAATGGATCTCTTTACAACTACACTCCAAACCTAAATGGAAAAAAATTCTTTGAAACCGGACATGAAGCCTCAAGGGAACAGATGTTTAAAACCAGACACGACCTAACTGAAACGGATCTATTTAAAACCAGACCCAAAAATTATATTAAATTGAGTGGTCTGTGTTTTGTTTTTTTAGCCCATTTCTGGGCCAATAACCTTCTGCTATATATATATAGCGAGAGAGAGAGAGACGGATCGAAACTTCAAAATTGAAAACGTGGCGAGAACTAGGCCCTTTTCTCTCTCTAGAAATGAAATGAATTATTTTCTATTTGGGCTCATTGTTCATATCAAAGTTACATCTCAATGGTTCTATACTCAAGCTGCGACCAAAGCTCAAAATGATTATTCTACATGTTGAAAGTCAATGGGCAAGCTGGTTAGGAAGGCCAAGTTATACGGGGAAGTGGACTTGCCCGAGAGGGAACACCAGGAAGGCAGCTTTCGATATATATATATATGTATATATATAGTGGAAGGTTACCTAATGATTAGTCTTAGGCTAGTTTATATATATGTATATAAACTAGCAGCTCACCTTAACCCTAAGACGATCAACTTATCTGATTTCTTTGCCGGCTAAGTGGACAGGAGAGTGAAGGGAGGAACAATTATCAATGCACAGATGAGAAAGCAGATTCTAATCACACGAAAAGAAGAAGGTATATGAGCTAGAAAAAATATCAATTATTGCTTCTGCTTGTTGTTAGATCCAGCAGAAACAATATAAGAGAAACAATACGAGAACAACAAGCTGAACCATTCTCCATGCTGCTCACTTTTGATTGCAAGAGAAGAAGACAAAAACAGGGGAGAGAAGAAGAAGAACGTGAAGAAGAAAAAAATAATTTCCCACACCTCAAAGACCATGATCAAGCATCAAATTAAATATTCATCATTAAGTAATCTCCTTCAATCTTATATTCATTAAATTGTTGGAAGCAAGTTTCCTTAGAACCTGAAATACGAGAAGGGGGAACTGGAGAACTTATTCGGTTTAACTAATTAGATCTATGGAAACCAGAATAGAGAAGTGTGGAGCATCTCTAGTTTCATTTCCGAGGACTGTGGAATCTAGAATAGGAGATTTAGGAGATCTCAAGTTAACTGGAGCTGTGAAATCAAGTTTCAAGGCCTATAATTCAATGTGTTTTCAATAAGGATTTAGTGTAACCCAAAGATCAAGTTTTTGGAGATTTGATGTAGATCAAGAAGACTGTTTCACTA